TAGCTAGCGAGGGAAGGGAATCTTAAACTAGACTTTTCTGACACATTATTTTCACCATATACTTTCACCAGAAAACTCTTCTGCAAACATACTTGTCACCCATATATTTCACATTCTTTTCACCCAGAGACTCTTCACCAGAACTCTTCTTGCACATACTTTTCACTCATATACTTTTCACCCAGAGACTCTTCACCCAGAAACTCTTTTTGCACATACTTTTCACCCATATACTTTTCACCCAGAGACTCTTCACCCAGAAACTCTTCTTGCACATACTTTTCACCAATATACTTTTCACCCAGAGACTCTTCACCTAGAAACTTGTCTTGCACATATTTTTCACCCATATACTTTCACCCAAGACTCTTCTTGCGCCTACTTTTCACCCATATACTTTTCACCCAGAGACTCTTCACCCAGAAACTCTTCTTGCACATACTTTTCACCAATATACTGTTCACATCTTTTCACCCAGAGACTCTTCACCCAGAAACTCTTCTTGCACAGACTTTTCACCCAGAGACTCTTCACCCAGAAACTCTTCTTGCACAAACTTTTCACCCATATACTTTGCACCTAGAGACTCTTCACCCAGAAACTCTTCTTGCACATATAATGGTCCCACATCGGAGCCTCAATTTTTCCATTGTGTTTCCATCCCATCAATTTCCGTCATTTTACTCTTATTTTACTTGGCATCATTTTGGTCCCACATCAGAGCCGCAATTTTTCCAATATGTTTTCCATTGTTTTTCTCCACTTCTTCATCATAGTCCCTCGATTTTTCCATTGCTTTTCCATCGCTAATGGTCTCACATAGAAGCCACATTTTTTCATTTTTTTCCATTGCTTTTCCATAGTTTTACTCGACATCATTTTCCCCTCCATTCCAGTCTCCCCAGTGTTTTTTTCACAGTTTTTCCTCCAGTTTTACTCAACCGTCCCATATTTTACGCTATCAATTTATCCTTCCATTTCATCAATTTTTCCAGTGTTTTGCCATGGTGTTGCTCGATTTCTCCATCATTACCCTTCTATTCTCTCAGTGTGTCTAACGCTTACCCAAATGCACCTTCCACAATCCCTACAGTTGCACCGTATAAACGGTTTTACTCGTTTCTTCCATGGTTTTTTTTCTGTGCTTCTACTCCATAGTGGTCACACATCGAAACTGCAATTTTTCCATTGCTTTTCCATTGTTTCACGCGTGCTTTACGCGATAATGGTCCCACATCGGAGCCTCAATTTTACTTGGCATCATTTTACCCTCTCCCTATTCTTTCCACCGTTTCGCCTCGCGTTTTAATCAATTTTCCAAGCGTTCTACTCAAATTTTCCATTGCTTTCCCATTTTTTTTTCCATTGTTTTATGTCAAAGTCCCTCCTTTTTTCCATTGTTTTTCTCATCATTTTCCCCTCCTTTCCCATTTTTTCCCATTGTTTTATATCATATTCCCTCATTTTTCCATTGTTTTTCTCATCATTTTCCCCTCCATTGCAATCTCCCCAAGTCCACCTCGGAGGGCGGACCAGGGGGGAATCGATACCCCACCGTCACCCAATTGCCACCTGGTACATACCCCTAAAAAACTTTACCTGTGGCCACCTTTTTTACCACCTAATTTCCCGATTTTTGGCCATCTCGGGGCGCTCTGCCCCCAGACCCCCTTAACTCACTTTGTTCGCAAAAAGAACTTCGCCTAGCCTAGCGGCTGGCTTTCGTGATGAAGATTGCATTGCTTACAAAACTTGGGCAAAAACTGAACTTCTGCACATCACATGTGTGTCATCTCCTCATATCGAAACTGCAATTTTTCCATTGCTTTTCCATTACGCGATAATGGTCCCACATCGGAGCCTCAATTTTACTTGGCATCATTTTACCCTCTCCCTATTCTTTCCACCGTTTTTCCTCGCATATCAATTTTCCAAGCGTTCTACTCCAATTTTCCATTGCTTTCCCATTTTTTCCATTGTTCTATATCATAGTCTCTCATTTTTTCCATTGTTTTTCTCATCATTTTCCCCTCCTTTCCCATTTTTTTCCCATTGTTTTATGTCATATTCCCTCATTTTTCCATTGTTGTTCTCATCATTTTCCATCATTTTCCCCTCCTTTCCCATTTTTTCCCCATTGTTTTATATCATATTCCCTCATTTTGTCCATTGTTTTTCTCTTCATTTTCCCCTCCATTGCAATCTCCCCAAGTCCACCTCGGAGGGCGGACCAGGGGGGAATCGATACCCCACCGTCACCCAATTGCCACCTGGTACATAACCCTAAAAAACTTTACCTGTGGCCACCTTTTTTACCACCTAATTTCCCGATTTTTGGCCAGTTAGGGACGCTCTGCCCCCAGACCCCCTTAACTCACTTTGTTCGCAAAAAGAACTTCGCCTAGCCTAGCGGCTGGCTTTCGTGAAAATCTTACAACTCATACATCTTTTTTCCTATACCATCCGCATCTTGCTCCAAGGTTTCATGGCAATGTCTTGTACGCGAGTCAGCCACTATTTCCTATCACCAAACTACATTGCTCATCATCTAACATTATCTACAGAAACCAAATCGGATTTCCTGCTCAACGTTTCCGCTCGTTAACATTGTCTTGGTTTCACTATATTTTTAAAGCATTTTTAGATATAACATTTTCCTAGGTTTTCACTGTATTTTTCTAACATGTTACATGCCTCCTAGCATGTTCACGCGTGTCCTCCATGTTGTACTGTTTTCTACATCGTTTCCTCTAGTTGTTGCAAGCATTTCCTAGCTTGTACACCGTTTTCCTAATATTGTCACAACTTTTCTTCCAGTTTCCACTGTTTTTTCTACCGTTTCCTGTGGTTACTTTCTTCTCTTTTGTAGGTTTTCACTGTGTTTTGTCCAGCTTTTTTTATTACATGCTTCCTACCATTTTCACCGCTTTCCTCTATGGCTTTTTGTACATTTCCTCTCGTTTCCTGCATCTCATGCATTTTCAATATATTTTTCCAAGAGTTTTACCCGTCTCCTTCAGTTTCCGATCGTTTTTGCACCATTTCCTCTGGTTGTTATCGCATTTTCCTGCACTTTCACTGTATTTTTCCAGCATGTTTACTGCATCGTCATAGTTTGTTCCTAGCAGTCGCTCCGGTTTCCTCCATGTTCCAACAGATTTTGCACCCTTTATTCTGGTTGTTATCACATTTTCCTGCCAGGTTGTTATCACATTTTCCTTCACTGTATCTTTCCAGCATTTTCCAGTGGATTTTGCACGATTTCCTCTGATTGTTATCATGTTTTCCTGCAGTTTCTATATCATCTATATCCTCTTCGTGGGTTTTCAGTCTATTCATGCATTTTTAATCTATTTTTCCAAGATTTTTACCCGTCTCCTTTTTGCACCATTTCCTCTGGTTTGCTGCATTTTCAATGTATTTTTCCAAGAGTTTTACCCGTCTCCTTGATTTTTCCGATCGTTTTTGCACCATTTCCTCTGGTTGTTATCGCATTTTCCTGCACTTTCACTGTCTTTTTCCAACATGTTTACTGCATCGTCATAGTTTGTTCCTAGCAGTCACTCCGGTTTCCTCCATGTTCCAACAGATTTTGCATGGCTTGTTCCTAGCATTTTCCTCTGATCGTTATCATGTTTTGCTCAAGTTTCATTGTATTTTCCAATACATCCTCTTCGTGGGTTTTCAATATGTTTTGTCCAGCATTTTTTTACTACATGTTTCCTATCATTTTCACCTCTTTCCTCCATAGGTTTTTGCACCATTTCCTCTGGTTTCCTGCATTTTCATACCTTTTCAATATTAATATTTAATCCAAGAGTTTTACCTGTCTCCTTCATTTTCCGATCCTTTTTGCACCATTTCCTCTCGTTGTTATCACATTTTCCTGCACTTTCACTGTATTTTTCCAGCATGTTTACTGCATCGTCATGGTTTGCGCCTAGCATTCGCTCCGGTTTCCTCCATTTTCCAAGGGATTTTCCATGGTTTGTTCCTCGCATTCGCTCCGTTTTCGTCCGTTTTCCAGGGGATTTTGTACGATTTCCTCTGATCGTTATCATGTTCTCCTGCAGTTTCATTGTATTTTCCAATACATCCTCATGGTCTTTCCGGCCACCAAAAAGGCGGACCTAGGGGGAATCGATACCCCACCGTCAGCAAATTGCCTAGTGGTACTTAATCCAGCAAAATGCTCCGTTTTCTGGCGCTCAACACAGGGGCACGGCGAGATTTCGTTCCCTTTCGGCAACAACCCCCCCCCCACACCCCCTATTCTCACTTCGTTCGCAAACAGCAACTAGCCAGCTAGCTGGCTTTCGTAATTTTATATACATACACGCAAATGTAGATATTATATATACCAAAAAAACAGGAGAAGCACAACCCGCATCGCAAACTCAGGCGTGTTTTTACCGTAAGTAACCAACAAAATTCAGGGGTCTATCAGATGATCCTCAGATAAAGTGACATTGTGGGCCGCTGAGTTAATATGCCCTCGCATTCGCATGTGATTTCTCGTGGTTCCTGACTATCTCACGCAAGTCTTCGACGTACAGTATGAGTTACAAACAATGTGAGACCCGGCTCTTAGGATTCTCAACATAATTGTCATTAGAATTTCCCATTACCCCATGGATGCACTGCTATGCTTATAACCCAATCTAGCCCGGCAATGAAAAATCTCTATGTTCAGACGGCAATGTCATCTATCCTCAGATAGATCATTTTCAATTGCCATGCTTGAACTAACTATTGCTACCAACATGGTTAGATTTATCCCATTGTCATCCCCAATCATCCCATTGTTCCATCAAGATCCCATGAAACCCAGTGAATTTCCCTCTGTGAGCTTGTATGTTACCTAGCCATGGTATAGATGACCTACTTAGCTTGATGTTTTGCCTATCGTTTTAATGGTGATTTTCGATAGCTATGGATATCCCTAAGGTTTCCTCAGTAAATCCTTAGAGCCAACCATAGCACGGATATGAAAAGGTGGCCTTTGCACCTTCATCCAGCAGGTATTCGCAAACATCCTTGCGACATGTCTGGCTTCTGGTGCGAAGAAAGGATTCGGGAAAACCTATGGCAAAATTGGGAAAACTTATAGTAAATTTTGGAAAACCCATGGTAAAAGTTGGGAAACCTGTGGTAGACTGGTATTATTCCCATTGGAAATGCCCCATGTATGCCTGTTCTTTTTTTCGCATGTTTCGTCGGAAAACCACTGGGAGCGCACCTTCAGGAGGTAATCTACACATCTGCGGTTTCCATTGCCATGTTCAGGAGGGTAGGAAACAAAAAAATGAACCCGGTTCACAGCACATACCCCCCAAAAGATGAGGATGTCGGGCTTGAACCGACATGACACCTGTCAACGGGTGAATTTGAGGCAGCCCTTGCAATGAGGGTTGGCCAAAGCACCCGGTCTTCTCCTATCCTATCCAACCAACCATTGTCAACCATCCTGCAGGAGCATCAAAATTATATGACTGCATGGCCCCTCATTGAAAGAATGAGGATCTCACCAAAACGATTGCCTAGACATGGGAATAAATATGGGATGCCATAATTGTCTAGGATAAGTCACATAGACCTCATTTTTGATGTTTCAACCTACTTTGGATCATCCCACACTAAGTACCTGCTTGGCAACCACAGTATGAAAGTTACAATTTACCACCCATTTAATGCATCATATTTGTACATGTGTATGTATGTGTATTTTAAAAAAACTCTGTATGCATATATATATATGTGTGTGTGTATATGCGTGTGTGTATATGTATTAGCCTTATAGGTGTAACGTGTAACATACGGGTGTGTATATGTATATATATATATATGTATATACCCATGTTTGATAAGCCCCAATTTTGAAAATCTCCGGAAACTTTGGTGACAAAAAACATGTTTTCTCAGAATGTCCATGGGTTTTCTATGGTTTTCTGTCCAAGGGGCCCAGTGGCCATTGGCTGCCGCCTTCATTAGGGCATTCTCCCCGCGCTCCGTCGCGTAGTCGGCGGCCGCGTCGTGAGTCTTCACCAGCAGTTCCTGGAGTTGGGGCCGTGAGGCGACTGGTGGGCTATCAATGCCCCAAGGGGGGAACACCCATAAGTTGGGACATGGGTGCCCCCATGACTATGGTAAAATATATATATATGTATATATATATATATATGTATATATATATGTATATATATATATGTATATATATATATATGTGTGTGTATGTATGTATCTTATATACACACCGTATATATGCACTTTTTAATTGAAACAGCCCCAACTAAGGGCCCCCTTGATGGACATGAAATGAACAGAAAAATGCGACAAACCATATATATATATATATATACATGCTGCAAACCTACGCAAAACCTACTCCCCCCAGGATTTGGAATGATTGGTATGAGCTCTGATTCAAAGACATGCACATATCTACCTCATCTACCCGTTAACTTTGAAGAGTAACACCTCTTTCAGTTTACCGGAAGTCAACAGCTCCCTGTAATGCAAGTTCAAAAGCGGCCAGCGGTTTCCTACGAAATACACACAAAACCCAAATTATTTCTCCACATCGTTGACATCATGCATGTCCAAATGTTTTTGTGGTTGAAGAACCCCCGCACTTGATCTGGATGTGGTAAACCCAATCGTTGTCAGGACCCAAATGCTTCGAGGTAAAAGCCATGAAATGATGTCAAACAGTTGTGCTCCGGTTTGCTCATGTTTGTTGGCTATTTCTACTTCTACCTTTGTTTCTTCACCACTATTACCATTGTTGAATTGTTGGCACGGCATCGCCACACTGGTCCAAAAAATTGGATTGATTGTCGTTGCTTGCTCGTTGGTCACTAAGAATATGAATATGCAATACTGTCAATATCAGGTAATTGTACCAAGGTGGCTGTACTGCTAGACACCACTACTGTTAATCATCGTGTGCTGTGAACCTTGTTTCCCAAACAGTGTGTCCACACTAAGGGGTTCTATCTATATAACTGTAATTGTTGGATAAATTCTTGTGAAAAATTGTATCCCCGTCAGATCCTTGCAAAAAGAAAGTGTGAGTTCTTGGAAAGGGTCCGAGAAAGGAGGTCTTACAGGTGTCTTTGAAGGGTCCTTGTATCGAGCTCTTGTGGGTTCCTGGTAGAGAGATTGGATACTTGCGAGTTCCTCTGAAGGATCCTTCTAGCAAAATCCTGTGAGTTCCTTCAAGGGCTTCTTGCACTAATATTCAGGGAGTCCTTTTGTGGAGACCTTGCAAGTTCCTTTCAAAGATCTTTGTATAGAGTACAGATCCAAGTGATGGTAAAATAACTATATATTTTGATAATTAAACCCCCACTGCACCACCATAACTTTGTTGGCGAAACCCTAGGCAAACCGCTAATGTTGTTTATAATCATCCGGGTTATATCCACATTAATCCCCAGTATACCTCATGATCTCGGCATATATATATATGTGTGTGTGTTATATATATATATACGTATATATAGCCTATATAGATGCTTGTATTCCCAAGAAAAGTATCGCAGCAAATTACCACCCTGAAAAATATCCCGTCCAGGCGTCGCAAATGTCAATGCTCCCAGCCAACGAGGCCCACATTAAGACCGTCCAGCCATAGTCGTCCTTCACATCCTGTGGATAAAGGGAAAAAATGGCACCGAATGGATGCAGGCATCGGCATAGGCCCAAAACATGTCAAACTGCATCAAACACCTGTAAAATGTGACAAAATCATGACATATCATTCAAATTCAAGGCTTGTTGATCAATTATGACACAATTACGATCAGTCCCAACCAGATTGAAATGAAAATGTTGGATGGTTTCCCAATGCAAACTATCATTTATGGAGGCTTAGGACCCAAGAACAGGTCTCACAATTCGGGAAACAACATTGGTTGGATGTGTTCATGAAATTCCATGACCGAAAATGATCAGCCCGTGCCCGGGCAAAATAGATAAAGACTGAACCCTGAACCCGAACGCATGAAGAATGAACATGTGACGCTAATTGGTAGAGAAATTGGATTTCACACAAGAACTGAGAATCCACCATTTGTAGATAATTGTCCCATTGAAACATATTAAAACCTCCATTAATAGGTGACTTCCCAGCCATATTTGATGGGATGGTAGCAATGGATTTGGGGGATGGATTCAGTGCTGCGGCATGGTGTCTTCATCCTGAACTGGAAATGGGCTGCCTTTGGAATGCCCTTCGCAACTGGCATTACGGTGAGGTTGTTTTGAGGTCGCTAGATTTTTGTTTACCATGACTGGAAGCATGCTGCCAGATCAGCCAAGTATGCAAGTTCTCTCCGAAAATTGACCCCTTCATCCTCACCTTCTCTATTTTTTTATATGGCAAGTTTGGGGCACACCACCCCAAACTTTGAACCTCAGAAGTGTGGCCCCCATGGGCCCTCACCAGGCCGAGCTTCCATGGAAGCACCTTCATCAATCAGCAGCCGCAAGGCTTCCGATTCATCGTGCTCCGCGGCTTTCCTCAAGCAATGCCACCAGCAAAAGCGTCACGGGTTTATTCCATAAACAGGAAACTGGGAGTCGCTCAGTCTTTGTTCAGGGATGCACTATTGTACTCGTATGAATCTACTTTAGACTAGTCGCAAAAGGACTCTGGGATCAAAGCATGAACATGCAGCATACCCACGCTTCAAACCACGCACCCATCACAGACTTCCCATCAGATTCCCTCAACATTGCCTTGGCCAAGGATCATCAGCGCAGTTGCACCATCATCATCCTTGACGTCCAAGATCCTCTGCCTATCCATGCGCATGTTCTTCTGCGCGTCGCCCATCATGGTGGTCCCGCTCTTCTTGCCTGGACCACTTGGCGACCATCCATTTTAGTGGTGAAATAAACCGGGCCATACAGTCCTTCAACTAGCTGCGTAACTAGCTTACATTGGGCAACCCATCCCTACCACTTGGTTGTCATCATGGCCGCCAACCCCCACGTCATCCAAGCAGCTGACTCAGTTGATGAGGCCTCCCAGATCCCCCTTGTGAACACATTTCCACCTAGTGCCAACCGGTTGCGTTGCATCAGTTGGGAATCGATCAGGAACTTGATCACATCTGTGTGCCCACCTGTGCCTTAGGCCCCCCAAGCACATGCATGCCAGCCCTTGCCAGTGTCTTGGCGGTCTCCAGCAATTGGCAATACAACCCTCAAAGTAAACTCTCCAAGAAGCAGGTGTTCATCCACATGTTCCCTGCGGAAAGCCAACAGTGGCTGGGCTGTTCCACTTCCCAAAGGTGCCAAAAAAAAGTGGTGCCAAGCGAGCAAACCCACCGTAATGATCCGTAATGCCTTTTACTTCTGGTTGGTTGATACAGGTTCCCATTATGGGACATAATTCCCCATCATCAACCAGGTAACATTTGATCCCCTATAATCATCAACCAACCATCATTTGTCAATTTTTTCTCCCCCTAATTCTTGATTCAAACTTTTTTAACCCCCATCAATGATGGTCAAATCCCCATGAAAGGCCGCTACAAAAAACAGGATTTCTTGTCGCCCGCTGCTCCAATTGTGATGCCAAGAAGCAGGCTTTCATCAAGGACGTTTCTCCCGCGTCATCTTTGGCGGAGATTCTAGCGCCCCGCTCCACCAAGAATCTTACTATCTCAGCACAGGGACGCAGGGGTGTAAATCTAGTCATACTTAACTTGGCATTTTGATCATTTTGTTGTCTGGGCTCTTGACAAAATCAAAGAAAATGCAAAAAAAAAACGGGTTACCCTCTGGTAATTTGACATAGCTATGGAAAGATCCACCATGTTTAATGGGAAAATCCACTATTTCTATGGCCATTTTTCAATAGCTTTTTGTATGACATAACCAGAGGGTATCCGATCCGCAAAAATCGGCCGTTTTTTTGCCAAGGGTGATCCAAGGGACCTGCATGTGTCCCATCTCTGCAGCGTACATCAGGGCGCTCATGCCTTCGGTATCCTTCTGATCTACCTTCACTTTGGGCTCCTCGCACGGCCGAAAGCCCTGGAAACAGCCAAAAATAACGACCTTTGCAAAATCCAGGCGCCACAAAATATACAAAATCATCAATCATCATCTATCATCATCATGATCATCATCATCAATCAATCAAACAAACAAGCAAGCAAGCAAACAAACGACAAAAAAAACAATCAATCAGTCAGTCAATCAATCAATCAAACAAACAAACAAACAATCATCGTCGTCATCATGATGTTGTGGCAAGGAAACCGATGGAAAACGACACATCCGATACAGCAACTCGCCGTACCATAGGACTGGTTCCGGTCCCTGAGAGCACGCTGACAGGCATCTTCTGAGCCGCTCTTCACTGCCTGAGCCAGCTGGTGTCCTAGCAGAATTTGAAGCTGAAAAAAATCCTTGACATCTTCGGACAGAAAGATGTACTTGAATACAGGCAATTATCTTCATGTGTGCTATTGTACAGCCAGCACTTGAGCTATGCCCCAAAGTCTTTCGGGACGTTATTGTAGTTTAGCTCGATATTTCTTACCCTGGATTCCCTATCGGGACTATGCAGTCCAATATTTGAATCAAGGCCATCCACAAGCTCTCCCACTTGGCCTCAATCAAGGGGTACACGGTGACAGTTGCACCTTTCCCCTGCTGACTTTTAAGCGCTGCTAGCAAGCTGCTCGTCATGGCGGGGAGGGGCCAGCTCCCAAGGATGCCAAGTATGCTGCAGAGATATTGCTCGGTCTTGCATGATTCACTATCATCGTTATGACTATGTAAACGTGATCGTACACCTACAGTGTGTATATATATATATATATATAGAGTTATATATATATAGATAGATAGATATAAATATATATATATATAAATAAAATAAATATATAGATAGTTCATGATTGCTAAACACTCGTATACCAAGAATCATCATAGATCAGCAATCATGATTTTCAAGACCTTCACCTCGCAGGGACTGGAGCCGCGGCTCGGTTGGCAATTCCTCACGTTTTTAGGGGGGGTTGGGACATTGATCTTTAATTGATATGAATATTCCACGAATATTCCTGCATAGTTTTCCTGGATGTTTGGGGAGATATGGAATGCATATGGACCTTTTGGATCCTTTTGGTGTGTTTTTTCGGGTGTCGTTTTGGGATGTTTTGGCCCTTCGAATCACCTGCTTTTGGGATGGACAAAACCGGGCCACTGTCCACCACGTCGCCGCAGCTGGGCCCTGGACGTTGCATCTTCCTGATGGCTTGAGATCATCACTCCCCAGTGGCTGACCAGAACTGTTTTTGATGGTTAATAGAGGCATTTCCAACCATTGACATTATCCGATTTTATTATATACATATAGACTTATAATATATATATATATCGGATCATCATCATCATCATCATCATCATCATCATCATCATCGTCATCGTCATCGTCATCGTCATCGTCGTCATCATCGTCATCATCATCATCATCATCATCACCATCACCACATCCCAAACTGCGCACCTGTACGCAGGGCCTGGACATCTTCAAAATATCTGGGTAGCGTCCACGGTGGGGTCCTCAGAGGCGTGACCTCTCCGCCTAAAAAATGTTGAAAGTTGCTTCTTGATGGCTGGATATCTGTTGAGGTGGTAAAAACTGTGTAAAACTCTGAGATTGATCCGACCCTGGCTTTCCTGACATTCCAGCCTTATGGCCACAATCCGCACAATCTGCAAGCAAGAATCAGAAGTCCCAGTTGAGCTGCCAAAATGCTTCATGTCAGATTTGAGCCAAAGCATTTGTTCAGGCAGACACTCAGCTCTGGGAAAATGGTGAAAACATGTGAAAACCATCTTTGAAGGATCGGACTTAGAGAGTTTCTATTTACAGCAATCTTGCAGACAAGTCATGGCCCCCCGCAAATTCACGGGAGATGCGGATATTTCTTTGCAAAGTGCCACTGGGCAGTGATCAGGACCAAGAAAAGGTATGGCGCAATGAAAATCTGTCTGCACCCTGGCTCCCCACTGCTTAGATATCATCGGCTTGACATTTTCCTGCTCCTTGCAGAAGTCGCAACTATGCAACCTGAGTGAGCAGCAGGAGTGTCGATCCCAAAGGTGAGAAACTAGAGCGACCTGCCAAAAAAATGGCTCTGGAATGTTCTGGAGCATCTGATTTTATGCACCATCTGGGTCATTTGCACCCGTTGGGGTCATTTTAATGTGGCCATTTTAAGGGGTACTCAACTTGACTTGACACCAGTGCCTGTAGGATATCCAGTCTTCAAGCTCATCCAAAATAAGATACATCAAAATGCCCTGACAGCTCTCCGAGACCCAAGTTGCCCCAGAAACAAAAAGATAAATTTGATAGTGACCATTCTCCATTGAAAAAAGAAGCCTCTGGGCAAAGAGGTGCTCCAGCAGGTGTCAGCGTGAAGAAACTTCGCCTTTACCCACCATTTGTTTACCATATTAATGTCACCTTGACTTTTTTTGGTCTAGTTCTTGGGTATGATAGTGCAGGATAGGGGTCACAACTCACGACGTCTTAGAAGCCAAACGCAGAGCTCCGTTTGCAATCCTGTTGGGTAAGGAACCTTTGAGGTTCTCGCAGGACAGGCCAACCAAAGCCTGCATCTCTCCCTTCAGGCACCTTGGCGGACATCTTGCAAGATCCATACGGGACTCCAGAGAAAGAACACACAATCTCGGACAGTCCCTCAGGGTGCAGCTGCTCGAGGATTACCTTATCCCGCAAATCAAAGGAGCCAGTGCAAAACATGATGATGCAACCCTAGGCTTCAGTCCTTCCAGCCATGCACTTGAGCAGTGTCAAGCCAGTTATGGAAGGGTTCCACTCTCTGAAATTATCCCTAAACAGCCTGCTTAGGGCCATGTAATAATTGCACCACCATCCATGAATCAACCAACCCATATTTTATCACAACTGCCCAGTTTCTAGCCTTCACCCTCCAAGCATCAAGCTTCACCCCGGACATCTCCAGCCCATCCCAGCTCCTTTTTTCCGCATCGCAGATCGCATCTCTCACGCCTTGTCCACGCTGTGTTTCTTCTTCTCATAGGCCGAGATGATGTGCTTCCCCGTGGCCGACTTCTTTAAGCTCTCCTCAGCCGCCTCAGGCGATTGTGTCGCGAGACCAGGGAACTCCCCAGGTTTACCCAATTTGATTGGATGATTTTCCTGTTGGGATTCTCCAGCCAATGTGGTTGGCATCACCAATGATGGTTAAACATGGCTAAACCATGGCTAAACCATGGTAAACCCATGGTTAAACCATGGTTAAACCATGGTTAAACCACATTCATCCGGTGGTGATCTTCTCGGGCCTCAATCCTCTCCCTGAGCTCCAGCCAGTCGTCGCCACGGCTGTGCTCAATGATGCGCTGAACTGTGTAGTTACCGAACTTGTCCTTGCCGTGGGAAAGCCATTTTTAGCTAGCGACATGGGGAGTAAAAAAAATGTAAAAAACAAAAGGGTTCGAAAAGTCAAAAACCCCCTGATAATCTAACATAGCCATAGCCATGGAAAATGGCCATGTTTCACAGGTAAACCATCTACCAATGGGTTCATTTTCCATGGCTGTGTTGAATTACCAAACGGTAAACAACGACGGAGTTGTGGTCTCCATGATGTGTATTTTCTCATCTGCTTGAGCCACCAAAAAATGGCCAACCACTGAGCTGAAGTGAGATCAATAGATCATCTCCTGGCGGACCCTTGATTCCGACAACTTCAATCCTTGCAGAAACTCTACATCCATTCATCCCTTCAATATCCCTTCATCCTGCCACAGTTCCCCAGGGGTTCCAGTTATCAAAGTTTATCAATCTATGTTATGGTTCACATCATTTCACATCCCCACTTCAGATGGTGTCGAAAAGTGCTGGAATCTCCACCTTTCAGGGTTGATCCACCCATGGCCTTCATCAATCTGGCGATGGGCGCGTTGGGGTCCGATTTTTCACCCAGCACCGCACGCATCAAGGCGGACCTCACGATCATGGCGGGTATATAAGTAATACAGAGAGGGAGGGAGAGAGTTATATATATATATATATGTGTGTGATTTAAAATCTGTAGATATATCATACCTTTTTCCTGAATCATACATATACAAATGATATGTTTATGAATATTATATATATAGGTATGCGTGCATGTATTGCATTATTCTTTCAAAAGAATGTTGTCAAATATGATCAATACCGGAGAATGTTTTGTGGTAATCATCAGGATATGTACCTTGACCACAATTGAAGAAATCGCCAACAAAATTGGTATAACATTCCAAAATGGGTAGTTGTGTGGGGAGTAAGCCGGTCATCGATATCAGCGACGGTATGAGCAAAAACTCATACTGGTTGGTGGTTTCAACCCCGCTTTAAAGTGTCTGTCAGTTGGGATCACCCTTCCAAAATCTTCCAAATAGGGTTGAACAATGGTGAGCATGAAAAAATGAAACCACCTACCAGACATATCGTCTATACCGTCTATACCGTCTATACCGTCTATACCGTCTATACCAATAAGCTCTCTTTCATCCCCCTCCATGCCCAGCCCACCTCTCTTCCACTAGATCTTCAGCATGGCTTCCTGCCAGATGATGAGCTGATGATGGGACCCCTGGGAGATTCTGGGGCCGTTGTTCTGCGGGAGGCTTCCCCACAGCAAGACCTTTGGAGGATCACCATTCCCCAGTTGATGGTGTCGGGGTTGCAGTTCGAAGCGCAGAAGCTCCATCAAATGAAATCCCAATGAAATTGGCGCATCAAGATTGGAAGATTCAACAAAACCAAGTGACAGGCAAAAAAAATTGACCCCAGCTTGCACCCCTGGCACAGGGTGAAGCCACGCCCCTCCTATGGTGGAAATCTCAAAGCATTTCTCCACCACATTGCTGGAAACCTGCTTTGCAGCTGGCTGTGCAGGCCGGTGAATTCCCCCAACTCCAACAAGGCTAATTTATATATATATGTGTGTGTGTGTGTATGTATGCATGCATGCATGCATGTATGTATGCATGCATGCATGCATGTATGTATGTATGTATGCATGCATGTATGTATGCATGCATGCATGCATGCAATGAATGTATGTATGTATGTATGTATGTATGTATGTATGTATTTATGTATTTATGTATTTATGTACGTACGTACGTACGTACGTACGTACGTAGGTAGGTAGGTAGGTAGGTAGGTAGGTAGGTAGGTATGTATGTATGTATGTATGTATGTATGTATGTATGTATGTATGTATGTATGTATGTAACGCCCCGTTTCGCCCACACCCTTCTTGTCTTGGGAATATCAACAAAGGTATTAGGGAATATGGAAAGTCCCACCCCCATTAAACTTTACATTCATTTTACATTCATTGAAGATCTTCAATAAGAGTTTAATTCTCCCACCCCAGTTAAACTTCTACATTCATTGAAGATCTTCAATGAGGGTTCAATTCTCCCACCCGCGTTAAACCTCTACATTCATTGAAGATCTTCAACAAGGGTTTAATTCTCCCACCCCCGTTAAACTTCTACATTCATTGAAGGCCTTCAAGAAGGGTTTAATTCTCCCACCCCCGTTAAACTTCTACATTCATTGAAGATCTTCAATCAGGGTTTAATTCTCCCACCGGGGTTAAACGTCTATATTCGTTGAAGATCTTCATTGATGATGATGATGATGATGATGATGATGATGTGCGGAACGAACCCGCACAGGTCCCTCTGCTGCGCGTTCTGATTTAGAACATCAAGTTAACCATAATGCTAAAATATCAAAATTTTACCACGTTTTCAGATCATACGAAGAAGGCGGGCCAACAGGCGCGGGCAGGACGAGGTGTTTGGCCGTATGTATATATATATATTATAGTTATATATATATATATAGTTATATAGTTATATATATAATTATATATATATATGTGTGTGTATGTGTGTGTGTACGTGCATACATAATCATACATTTGTATATAAAAATATACAGGCCTGATATATGATGTATTGTTTACATTACTTAAAGCATTATGTACATAAAACCAATTGTTACTTGCCAAGTTTCAAACACATCGAGACCCCCGCCGGAATTCGTTCGCTGGGCCTGGCCTTGTTCTTGGCAAAGTCCAGGACGCTACCCGTAATCACCTGCTAGGAGCATCGAACAGTGGTTTCAGGTCTTGGCAATTTGGGATATGGAAAATGGTGTATATTGGTATATCCCCAAAACACCTATTTTTTCGCAGGGAAAATGATGATATGGCGCCCCAAGATGACTCAGTTTGTAGAAATTTCGGCCCCATGCTCACAAATCTTACTCTCCGGTAATCTGACAGCGTGCTATGTAAAACCATCCTCAACATTCTATAATACATATATATATATATACACAGGTAAGTCATCGGCCATGGCTTCCATCGCTAGGTCTTCAGACCCTCCCTGTTTCACAGTCGCCTCCAGGATGTGCCTCTTGTCTTCCAAACGACCCCGCTCGAGGATGCATTGGATGACATAGTTGGCATGGCTGTCCTGATGTCGCCACGGAAAACACCCCTGGGCATACTGTTGGGCACCATCGATGTGATCCATGACCAGTTCAAAAGGCACCATTCGAATGGCAGTTTTTTGTGAGGCACATCCAAACCGATCCGAAAAGGTAGACGTCGTAAACAAAGAGTTTCCTTGTCAGGATCCCTGGCCGACTCTTTTTGTTTAATTTTGGTTGGTTCTGATATCCTCCTGTTCAATACTCATTCATTTAGGCTTATATAATGTTATATAGTACTACTCCTCATCCAACCTGCAGTCGTTAGTTGCCATTCCTCATATTACCCCGTTCCTCATGATGTTCCCAATTCAGTAGAGGCCATATATTTCTTGGGACGAAACCCGTTCCAAAACCCAGCGAAATCCGCGAGCAGCCGCAGGTTAACCCATCTCCAGGCGTCCCTGGAGAGCTTGGCCGCAGCCGAAACGATGGGATCTAAGACGTCCACTAACTCCTCCAGGGCGCAATGTTCCAGCAACCTGGCGACATGGACCACCACGGGGTCTAAGATGCCTCCGCGAATGCCGTTGGATGATGTTGACCAATCACTTGACCTGTGTTGATCTACTGTATGTGATCAGGAGTGTAAGTCATAGACTACGAACTAGAAATCCATACACAGCACACACACATATATATATATATATGTGATATTAAATTAAATTAAATTATATTATATTATATTATATATTAAACTATATTATATTATATTATATTATACTATATTATACTATATTATTTTATATTTTATTTTATTTCATTATATTATATTATATTATAATATTATATTTTATTTTATCATATTATATTATATTTTATTATATTATATTATATTATTCTAATATATTATATTATTCTAATATATTATATTATTCTAATATATTATATTATTCTATTCTATTATATTATATTATAATATTATATTATATTATATTATTCTATTCTATTATATTATATTATAATATTATATTATATTATATTATAATATTATATTATATTATATTATACTATGTGTATATATATATGTGTGTGTGTGTTTCTTTGCTGGTTAAACACCCATTGCCATGGGATTTTCTCCAGCTTGAAGTTTTCTGGCGGAGTCGTGGCCGAGATCTAGGGGCACCATGTTGAAACGATGGCTAAATTGGCTCAATTGGCTAAGAATCATCTAGAACAGGCCATCAATTAATTGGCCATGACATTCCATCGCAAACGTGCCAGAATGGCAGTTCAGGGGATTGGCTAAGCCCACAGATTTCCTTCCCAGCGGCTTGCGATGACCCGACCCAGCTATTTGACCACGCTTCGCTTCGACGGCTCGAGGGTTCGACGACTCTGATCACAGGAACTGCTGTATGCATGGCTCTTCCCGTGGCGGCTCAGGACCACAATGATTCAATAATGTGATATTATGCGATATTACTATGATTGGCGCATGTGTCCTTTTACATCTCTTATGCCCTTTTCATCCAACATGGAGGTAATTTTACCAAACCAACATCAATATGCCAAACCACATAACATGGGTGATGATTTCCAGCCCTTCCATGGAAATCCATCATCGATCAGAATCGATCGCTCGGCTTTTGCAGATTTCAGTGAAACGAGGCTTGAAGCCTTCAGCTGCAGGGCTCGTTTGCGCTCCACATTTCGCAGGTGCTCAGCGATCCGACAACTCCACGAAATCCAGTCGTTGGAACCACCATCTGTCCATGGTTCCATCCATGGGTCTGGGAGATTCCTCGCAATCATCTACTAATCTCTGCATTCTGCCAAATTCATTAGAATTGATAATGTAATGATCATGTCTATTTCTGACCATTTTTCTGTCGCCATCTCCAGGAACTGGCAGACAATTTTGGGTTTCCGTGTTGGATTTCGTGCTGGGTTCGGTATCTTGGTTTCCGTGTTGGATTTTCCCGTCTTCCAAGGAACTGAATCTAGCAGCTGTTCTTCTTGAAAAATATAAACATGAATGATCTCCGCTAAAAGGACAAACGTTGAAAGGGCATGCGGGATAAATCAAACCCAAGATTTTCTCTCCGAGGACATTGCTGCACTGCGCACGGCCCTGCGCTGGCCAGAATAAATCATTTCTTCACAAGCTGCGGCTAGAAGCTTAGCTGATGGATCTTTGGAGAGGGAGGGACCTTCTTCAAGTCTGCAAGGTCTGCAAGATGTGCAAGATTTAAGTCGGAATCAATAGATCAACCATCAACCGACCCCTATGTCCCTATGACCTTCAATCAGAGCTCCATCTTCCGGGCAGCGAGGCATGAGGTCAAATGTGCTTCAGGCTCATGGTTTGATCACCTGGGATGGCAACAGATTCTGTTGAGTCTGTTAAGTCGCTGGTGGTTTCAACGTATCGGCAAAAAAATAAAGAAAAGCTTGCTGAACATAGATTCACACATCAACAGTGGCCAACCACCCAAGTTCAAAACATGGGACATAATGGGACACAAACTGTCGCACAGTGTCACGCACTGCAACACATTCAGCCCCAAGTCACTTTGTGATAGCTTGGCCTCTGCATGTTCTCGTACGGAAGGTCTGAACCACCGGGATGGGCGCTTCATTCTCTGCGAGCTTTGCAGGAAGTCAGGGTTTCCCAGTGAAGCCGTACCTTCCCCAAGCTGTTCAGCAGTACCTCATAGCCGAAACAGGATCTGGCGCGAGAATTCCACGAAGGACAGTTGGGATCACATGCTGCAAATTTCGGCCAAGGCCCCTCATTTGAACTGAGCTCGAATTGCCATGAAGTGCCTAGAAAATACATCGAAATTTTCATCCTGTCGGGTCACTTTCCGGCTTGGAAGCTCCGAGGCTCAGCTGAGATCTGCGCTTCTCACTCAGGAGCTTGGGGCTTCCAGGCCCCCCTGCCCTAGCCTCTTTGGGTTGTTCGATGCCTTGGTCGATGCGTCATGTTACTTCTGCTGCTTTATCTCAATCTTCATCCCTTTTCTATCCTTTCTGCTCAAAAACAAGCTGAAAGCATCCCAGTCACCTGGCTCTTGGTGAACCTCTAATCCCTCCAACCACGGCAATGAGGCTGGCAGATTAGGCGGGGACAAACAGGACTTGTCGCCCTGGAGGTACGGGATGGGAGCCCCAAGGATATTCGAGCCCTCGGGGTTCAAGTACTCGTACAGGTCGTCCAGTCGCGCCTGGGGCAGGGCGCCTCCAATTTGAATTTGGTAGGTGAACAACTTGAGAGCTTCCAAGCTAAGCGTTTCAAAACTCCAGACCTTCAATTGTTTTGGAAAGGAAAAAGGCCATGTGGCCATTGGTGTCTGATGGCCCCCACCCCAAAAAAATAAAAAACACTCAGTTCTTGGGCCAAATTCTTGGACCCGGGTGCAGCCAACCGCTGCTTCACACGCCTGCAGTATGCGAAACTGTTGATGGTTTTGCTTCAGGATTTCCTCCTGCGCAGAATTGACACAGCCAAGCCGCCAAGCCATTGACAGTCCTAAACCTGGAGAGATACCCCCTTCAAATGGACTGGTGGAACCTCAAAGAGGGTCTTCATCCCCCAAAAATATGGAAATTACAAAAGGTTTTGATCCATCCCAATACTTCATATCAACTATATCATGCTTATGTAAATCTCTCTCTCTCTGGTCTCCCTGCCCGAGCTGCACATACTTATACAATATCCCAATTTCTGGTAGTTTAAACATGGTTGAACCCCCTATGTTGGGTGGTTAATACCCTAGCCATTCATCCCCACATAGGGTTTCACAGGCGTTGATCCCATTAACTCACCATAAAATCACCCATTGTTTGTTGCTTACAGCTCATCTTTGATCCATCCCATGATCAAAATCACCCAGGATTCAGCGTCCTGCTGATGGAGGGCCCGTTCCATGTTGTACTTCACGAAGCGTGGTGCCGTCTTGGACTCATTGATCCAGCGCGACAGGGGCCGAATGAACTCGTTCTTTTCGATGGAACCGGAGCCATCGGCGTCAATCCTACGGGAAACATGGAGTGGTTTCATGGAAATGTGGGGATACACATGTGTATGTATGTATGTATGCATGCATGCATGCATGTATGTATGTATCTATCTCTCTCTATCTATCTATCTATCTATGTATGTATGTATGTAATTAATGTATGTATGTATGTATGTATGTATGTATGTATGTATGTATGTATGTATGTATGTATGTATGTATGTATGTATGTCTGTGTATGTCTGTGTATGTCTGTGTATGTCTGTGTATGTCTGTGTATGTCTGTGTATGTCTGTGTATGTCTGTGTATGTCTGTGTATGTCTGTATGTCTGTGTATGTCTGTGTATGTCTGTGTATGTCTGTGTATGTCTGTATGTCTGTGTATGTCTGTGTATGTCTGTATGTATGTAATGTACTGTATGTCTGTGTATGTCTGTGTATGTCTGTGTATGTCTGTGTATGTCTGTGTATGTCTGTGTATGTCTGTGTATGTCTGTGTATGTCTGTGTATGTCTGTGTATGTCTGTGTATGTCTGTGTATGTCTGTGTATGTCTGTGTATGTCTGTGTATGTCTGTGTATGTCTGTGTATGTCTGTGTATGTCTGTGTATGTCTGTGTATGTCTGTGTATGTCTGTGTATGTCTGTGTATGTCTGTGTATGTCTGTGTATGTCTGTGTATGTCTGTGTATGTCTGTGTATGTCTGTGTATGTCTGTGTATGTCTGTGTCTGTCTGTGTATGTCTGTGTATGTCTGTGTATGTCTGTGTATGTATGTATGAATGAATGTATGTATGTATGTATGTATGTATGTGTGTGTGTGTATGCATGCATGTATGTATGTATGTGTATGCATATGTATATGTATATGAGTATATATCTATATATATATATATGTATATATATATATGTGTGTGCATATGTAAATGCATATGTAAATACATATATATATATACATATAAGTATACATCTGTATATATATTCATTTACGTATACATATATATATATAGATATATATATATATGTGTGTGTGTGCAGTGTAGCGCAGTGCACATTGCAGTACAGTACTGTAATGTAATGTGATGTATGTATGTGCGCATGTATATAGAGATATATAGCCATTATATATGGGAGATTTATCTGGATCTGGTGGCATCATGGAGATTTATGTGGTATCAATGTTGAAGGAAAAATTGCATCGGAAACACCATATTTCATCAAAAATTGTTTGCTGTTGTTCCAGTCATTTTTCTCTTAATTAAACCAACCCATTCCTCAGAATATGGGAGGCTTCATATACCAGAAAAATTGGGAATCAATAACTGGTTTGTTGATATGGGTGGATATATACATGTAAATACACTAAGGATGACCGGAAGAAGCAATGTGAAATGCTGGCAGCTTAAAGGATACGCGTTGTTCTGGTGGCGCACACACTAGACAAGAACTGGATCATTATAGTGATCCGTCAGGAACTGAGTCCTGTAACGTGCAAACCAGCCTAAACCATTAGACCTACAGTAGATCCCCTTGTGGTACTTCGGCGAAAACACAGATTGTGGCAACCGTGAAGTAAAACTTCGGTTGTGCGGTTCTAGGCTTGGCCGCTTGCCATGTCAATCAAAATTGCAACGATAAATGCAGGTACGTCCAGCTGGCCAAGCTGGATATCCCATTTCACTGGTAGCTTCGTTGGACACAGTCCCAGTGAAATGCTGTGTCCCCCTGCATTATTATGAATATTATTAGAAAGGGAGAGGAAAGAAGAAAGAAAAAGAGAGAAGTTTTACATCTATTCAGATGGTACACACACACACACACACCCGGCCGGAGCCGGGTCAACCCTGAAAGGCAAGAGGAAGAAAAAAGCGGACACAAACGACGGGCCAACGACCAAAACAGCGCAGGGGGGGAACAGACGGACCTCCGGAACCAACCTACACAGCGAAACGGACCTGACCAAAACAGAGCACACCTAAACCCCACGACACATTGCGGAGAGGCACGAAGGGAGAATTAGGGACCAAATGGGGGACTAGTTGATGGCAAACAAAAGAAACCAAAACAATTAGTTTAAAAACAGAACTCAGTCCCTAGATACCTAGAGGTCGTGCGTTATTCCCTTGCCGGGACGGTAGTCAGGTCAGCCCAGAGGGCATATAACAGCTGTTCAAGTTCCATCGAATTAGGTGCACAATATGTTTGACCTCACCAGAGAACCATCAAAAGAGAAGAATACCACACGTAAGGCCATGTACCTGCCTGATCTCTGCGTCGTGTAGTAAAGCACATGTCACTTCACTCACTGAAGCTGCAGCGAAAAAAACGAAGTTTCTGGCGGTTTGGAACGGCTTCACTCTGTAAAGAATGGATTTCACGAAGGATCTCAAGGGACAGCCGGAGAAGCGGGACTTCACAAAAAGGTGCACAACCGTAAGGCCGACTGTTTCGTTTTACTTAAACGAATTACCAAGTTAAAATGTGTAAATTCGGTAGTCAGGTCAGTCCTCAGTCACCCACAAAGGGGTTGCCTCCAATGGCTCCATGGCACCATGTCGGAGCCACCATGGAAATCACACTAGACAAGAACTGGATCATTATAGTGATCCGTCAGGAACTGAGTCCGGTAACGTGCAAACCAGCCTAAACCATTAGACCTACAGTAGATCCCCTTGTAGTACTTCGGCGAAAACACAGATTGTGGCAACCGTGAAGTAAAACTTCGGTTGTGCGGTTCTAGGCTTGGCCGCTTGCCATGTCAATCAAAATTGCAACGATAAATGCAGGTACGTCCAGCTGGCCAAGCTGGATATCCCATTTCACTGGTAGCTTCGTTGGACACAGTCCCAGTGAAATGCTGTGTCCCCCTGCATTATTATGAATATTATTAGAAAGGGAGAGGAAAGAAGAAAGAAAAAGAGAGAAGTTTTACATCTATTCAGATGGTACACACACACACGGTGCGGGAAAAAAAACTGTTGATATGATATTGAAATGAGAAGCTCATGAAAATGTTCAGGGATGTTAAAGGTGGAAAGTGGGCCCAGCTTGTTCTGGTGGCTCAGGTCATCCCAAGTGATATCAGTTGTAACGTCAACACTGAGCAAGACTATGAAAATCCGCAATTCTGGGTGTTCACCAAACAATTGACCCTCTGCTCAATCCATCAAACAAACCAAAAGAAAAGATGGGATGAGGTCAGATTGAATCAGATCAAATCAGCACAGACCAAATCAATGAACTATATAATCAGTTGTTGAATCAATCGATCGATCAAGCAACCAACCAACCAATCAATCAACCAATCAATCAACCGATTAAACACCCAACCAACCAGCCAGCCAACCAACCAATCGAACGCAACATGTTTGACAGCATGTTTCCTCACATTGATTGATGTCATTGTATCTATAAGTGGTCAACGTACCTGTCGCTTGATCAATTACGATGCCAGTAGAACATATATAATTGATGTGTTATGAATTGGTTGAGTAGCTGTGCACTCACTCTTTGCTTGATTTAAGTGGCCAATTGTGCAATGAACAGTTGATTTGTCAAGTATCTGCACGTGCTGCTTCCATTGGTCAATCTAGCTCCATACCTTGCAACCTCCAACGCCCAACCAGTATGCCAACTGTTACCACTATTGTCTGGAGGATCCCCATTCTCCGGGATTCTACTCAACCCTTTGTTGGTGAAGTGGAACGACTCATTTTTTCTGGTGAGATGTGGTATGCTATGGTCCTACTACTCATGCATGTGTAACTTTTACGCCAAATATCTATCTATCTATCTATCTACCTACCTATCTATCTATCCACCTATCCATCTATCCACCTATCCATCTATCCATCTATCCACCCATCCATCTATCCACCTATCCACCTATCCACCTATCCACCTATCCACCTATCCATCTATCCATCTATCCACCTATACATCTATCCACCTATCCATCTATCCACCTATCCATCTATCCATCTATTCCATCTATTCCATCTATTCCATCTATTCCATCTATTCCATCTCTTTCATCTATTCCATCTGTCCATCTGTCCATCTGTCCATCTATCCATCTATCGATCTATCAATCGATCTATCGGTCTATCGATCGATCTATCGATCTATCTATCTATCTATCTATCTATTTATCTATCTATCTATCGATCGATCTATCTATCGATCTATCGAACTATCTATCCATCTATCTATTTATCTATCTATCTATCGATCGATCTATCTATCGATCTATCGATCTATCCATCTATCTATCGATCTATCTATCTATCTATCGATCGATCAATCGATCGATCTATCTATCGATCTATCGATCTATCGATCTATCGATCTATCGATCTATCGATCTATCGATCTATCTATCTATCTATCTATGTATCTATCTATCTATCAATCGATCTATCTATCGATCTATCGAACTATCTATCTATCTATCTATCTATCTGTCTATCTATCTATCTATTTATCTATGTATCGATCGATCGATCTATCGATCTATCTATCTATCGATCTATCGATCTATCGATCTATCGATCTATCGAACTATCGATCGATCGATCTATCGATCTATCGATCTATCGATCTATCGGTCTATCGATCTATCGATCTATCAATCTATCTATCTATCGATCTATCGATCTATCGATCTATCGAACTATCGAACTATCGATCTATCTAGCGATCTATCTATCTATATATCTATCTATCTATTTATCTATCTATCTATCTATCTATCTATCTACGTATCTATCTATCTATCTGTCTGTCTGTCTATCTAACTATCTATCGATCTATCTATCTATCTATCCATTTATCTATCTATCTATCGATCTATCTATCTATCTATCGATCTATCTATCTATCTATCTATCTATCTGTGTGTGTGTTAAATAAAACCTCTATACATATGTTTGAAAATCGAGTACAGTATACTCCCCCCAGTTTTGGCCCATTCGTATGGCGAAAATGATGAGTTCTGGAGCCAGGCTGCATCTCAAAGAGCTGTTCCAAGTCCGCTTGGTCAATGTCCATGACCTGGTTATGAACGGATTTGTGATGGAGACTCACATGTTTGTGGATAGCATATAGCAACCCATGGAAAATGTTGAAAAAAAATTGAAAACCTGGAAATATGAGACAAAATGAGACAAATATCATCGAACTGCCATCCTGGACACGCTTTTGTCCTTTGGGGGTTCCTACAGCCCTATACAATCATCAACAGGGGGCGTGGAAGTTTTGCAGCCACTGCTCTTTTGAAAAACCCTTGAGAACCTCAATGCAACTGGAAATCTTTCAAGTTGGAACCCTAGAAAAGGATTGAGGCAGGACTGCTCGATTGCTTCCACCTTGTCTTCGACGCAGGGCTTGCAACTCAGTTTTGAGTCCCAACTCCTTTGTCGGGATGTGAAAAAAGGGGGGTTGGAGTTCCACCCTGGAATCTTTGGATAGAGGAGCCTCAATCAGCGATGATCCGAAAAATTTGGCTGGCTACTCAGAAGGCTTCATCATTACACCCTTCAGCCCTTCGGAAAACACAGAGGACAACTGAGTCCATGACCCGCAAACGGCTCTGGAACTCAGGGTCCGTCTTCGCGCCTTTCACCAGCTCTTCCAAAGTCAAGTCACCCGTTCCAGTGACATCCTGAGGATAGGCCAACTATAGCAAATACAAGAAGGAAAATCATACTTGCTGTCTGGGTGATACTATATTCATACACATGTATGCACACACAAAGATGTATATACATATATATATATATTTACATAAGCACAACTACGTATGTGTATGTATATATATATAAACAGTATTATACAGTATCTGTGTGTGCCTGAGTGCGTGTGCGTGTGCGTGTGCGTGTGGGTGTGTGTGTGTGTGCGTGCAGATAAACGTATACGTGCATACATATGTATGTATGTCTGCCTGCTTGTCTGTATGATGGCATGGCATGGTATTGGCATTGGCATTTGCATTTGCATGTGCATTTGCATTTGCATGCATGTATGGATAGGGATGTAATTTATTTATCGATGTATGTGTTGATGTGTTTATTTACTGGTTTGGGTGAATGTTGTTCTTCTCTCTGATTCTATCTCTTTGGGGGTCCTATAGAGCTGTTGAACCGAAGCAAGCGAATGAACATATGGGATCTAAGCAACAAAACAATAGGATCTTCAGTCGAGTTTATCATCTGCAATAATGGAAGGAGTAAAGAAAAAAACCCTGCAAAACGCCAGACGTCCTGAGATTGGGGCCTGAACCAACCTGCAATAGGCTGCATTTGTGTGCACACGTATGTCCAATATCGAAAGTTGGGGCTTGAGATTTGAAAATCCATTTGCTCTTCGGAGCGTATGTGCGCTGCCCGATCTGGGTCTGGAAAAGGGCTGACTCCTCCCCCCAAAAAAGAAAAACAGTGAACCTCTGCTCACCAACGCCCAGCAACAAGTCTATTAAAGATCCTCTCTAGGTACCTGAAGCCATCGCAAAGCCACGATGACAGTGGTGAACTTTTGGCTGGGATATGTTTCTTTGCCCTCACTGGAACCTGGGCAAAGTATAATAAATCATAAACTGGAAACAAACAGACCATTTTCGGGCTCTAGCCATCATTCAGCATGAGGTCGCGAAGAGAGATTGCTATGATTTGCCCAGAAAATGGCACAGGCTGTGTAAAATCCATTGCCTTCCCAGGGGTCATTGGAGAAGGGCGGATCAAGACAAATATCTGGCCAGAGGGTCCAGCGACCAAACACCACTCCAACACACCTTCATTAAGAAGCCGGGAAGAAACACAACACATATGTTTGAAACATTTGGGACCACCAGCCGCTACGAGCCTGTAGCCGCGTAGCACTTCAATTCATGGAAACCACGGGAAACCAAATTAGACCATAGAACCAGCAGGTTATATGGCTATGAAATTAATATAAAATAGTTTTATCATGTTTTATCTTCATCTAATTTCCATGTTCATAATCCAAATGAAACATTTCATGGTTCTGGTGAGGTTGAAATCAACCCAATGTTTTGGCCAATCACGTGTCCATCCTCGGTGGCCAATCCGGGCCTGATTTCAGAATTAGCCACTCTCCTCTTCAAAAGGCGTGTTCATTGTCACGTCTATTCATGTTTATGAAATTTACTTTATCCTTTTTTATTCATGTTCCCATTGGAATGGACATTTTGGGGCAGTTTACCCCTTCTTTGGACAAAACCTCATCCTGCTGTAAAACTGGATGCTGGAATTCTTCAATGTCGGTTCTCCAAGCATGTTTGCCAAACCCAGCATGAATTGGTTTTTAAGAGATCTGTTGCGGCCCACGGCACTTCGTGTCATTGAGGTCATCATGTTCAAGTTCCTCCGCCAAGTGCAAGACATCTCTCTGTCGACTCTCGGCAAAGGAATCCACAATCACCTCGGCTGCTGTGAAAGCCAACGATGTGAAATAGGGCACCCATAAATCCAAGTAAAACCCATCAGGCATAACAACTATTTGTCCAAGTTGTTAGAATCGAAAGAAGTGCAAAGAGAACCAACCCTTCAATCGGCCAGCATCATATTCTCATCCGTGAACTGTTTGGAACATTTGAATCAAACAAACAATGTTCAACATGTGGGAATAGGCATCCCTAAAATGAACAGAAGTCAGTCTAGCTAAATTTGGTCCAAGAAACACCAAACAAAATGGATGGGTTCAGGCATCCTTCCACCCTAATCGCTACATTATCGTCGGGGGATTCACTACGGTCACAAAAATGCCCAAGGGATGATCACAATGGTGGAATGAATTTGTCCGAAAATGGTGTGCCTCTTCAAATCCAAATGTTTCACCACCAGTTGGCCTGTGGTAAATTGCCATATATTGAAGCATAAGAAACCCTCACTACTCCCCACTTTTCTGACAACCACATGACTATCAATAATTCATTGGCGAAATGCAAGTTCTTGATGCTCCAATCACCATTGTGGTTGGCTCAAACTAAAGGATGCCAGCCATGTCTGGTGTTTTTGTTGTGTTTTTGCCGCGGTGCCGCAACGATCATGTTGAGCACCCCAAAGACCAGCGTCATCAACGAACCGCAGAAAATAATGGCCGTGGTGGGGCTGTACTCGATGACCGGCACAGCCACTTGGCCCCAGCTATCGCCAGCGATGACTGTTTTGAACAACAAGAGGTTAGCACGCATCACCTTGGATTTGCCGATTGGGAAATTGGAAAAAATGTACATTATCAAAGTAAGTTTGGGTAGAAAACATCCGAGTTGCGGACGGTTGTCATGGCCAGCATTCTCACCATGATGTCAACCACATCATCATGCCAGTGTCAACCACATCATCATCAAGCAGTTGGGACGTGTAACCGTTAGAACCCCACGTGAATTCAGGTTTGTAATGACTCTCGGGCCCGAAACCCTGCGTTTTTCGGGTAAAATGGTTTCCGTGGTCGCCGAAGTAGGGTCTCTGTTTCTGCGGTTTCGGGCCTCGATCTGCAAAAGTTGCCGACGAAAAGTGCACAGGACTGTATCGAGAGTTCGATTAAAATGTTAAAAGGGTGTCACATTCAGAGCACTTTGGGAGGATGAGGTCGGCAAAATTGCCACCAGACTGTAGCGAGAGCTCGATTTCATCAAAAAACGGACATGTTCGGAGCACTTTTGGAAGATGAGGTCGGCAAAATGGTCACGAGACTGTAGCGAGAGCGCGATTTCACAGAAGAATTCTGTACAATTTAAAATATTTCGCAGGTCGTCGCTTATTTCGAATAAGTTTTACAGCTGAAATATTGACGTCGTCTGAATTAATAAATTATTTTACGTCGGCCTAATACGACACAAACTAGATTTTTTTCGGCTGTTTAAACTTTGCCGCTTTAGACCGGTAGCTGAGCTGCATTTTTCCAGCCGTAGCTGCCCATAGAAGAGCTAGAAAATAAGGGAACTTGCTTCTGAACACGCTGAAAACATCAGTTTCCTAGCTTGAAAAACTAGGATCTTTTGGGCTGCCCAAGCTTTACCGCTTAAAACTTATTTTTCCAGCCGTAGTTGCCCATGGAAAAGCTAGAAAAATAGGGTACTTGCTTCTGAACACGCTGAAAACCTCAGCTTCCTATTTTGAAAAACTAGGCTCTTTTGGGCTGCCCAAGCTTTGCCGCTTAAAACCGATTTTTCCAGCCGTAGTTGCCCATGAAAAAGCTAGACAAATAGGGTACTTGCTTCTGAACACGCTGAAAACCTCAGTTTCCTATTTTGAAAATCTTGTTGGTTATGAGCTTATTTCTGAAGCTAGGTCGTTATTTCGGGGTGACGTCGGTGACGTCGTTTTAAATTGTCCAGAAGAATGAGCAGTTTTGGATTTGAGCGGTCAAGTTCCCACGGCAAAATGCGTACGAGACTTTAGCGAGAGTTCGATTTCACATACCAGTAGTACCGCACAAGGCGGTGGCGGAAGTTTCAAAAATGGAAAACCTATAGGAGAGGTTGGTTGTTGTGAATCAGGGATGGCAGAGCGAAGCCACTGATGGACCGAAAGGTGCTTGAGGTCTCCTCTCTTTCTCTCTCTTTCTCTGACTATCTACCTACCTACCAACCTATCTTCTACGTATCTATCTATCTATCTCTCTCTCTCTCTTTCATCTAATTACCTATCTATCTATCTATCTATCCATCCATCCATCCATCTATCTATCTATCTCTCTCTCTCTTTCATCTGTCTATCTGTCTATCTGTCTATCTGTCTATCTGTCTATCTATCTATCTATCTATCTGTCTGTCTGTCTATCTGTCTATCTGTCTACCTGTCTATCTGTGGTGCAGCGTCATTCAGTGTAATGTAGTGTAGTGTAATGGAGTGTAGTGTAGTGGAGTGTAGTGGAATGTAGTGTAATGTAGTGTAGTGCAATGTAGTGTAGTGTAGTGGAGTGTAGTTGCGTAGTCGTGGTTATATTTGTAGTGGAGTGTAGTGTAATGTAATGTAGTGAAGTGTAGTGCAAGGTAGTGTAGTGGAGTGTAGTGTAGTGTAATGTAGTGTAGTGTAATTTAGTGTAGTGTAGTGGAGTGTATTGTAGTGGAGTGTAGTTGTGTTGTTGCAGTTGTAGTGTTGTGTAATGTAGTGTAGTGCAGTGGAGTGTAGTGTAGTGTAGTGGAGTGTAGTGTAGTGTAGTGTAATGTAGTGTAGTGTAGTGAAGCGAAGCGAAGCGACATCTGAACCTCCAAAAGCGGTCCGAACCCCTGGTGTTTTTAACATTTTGACTTGGAAATGTGCTTCGCGCCACAACGGCGTGCACTTTTTCGACATCTGAACCTCCAAAAATTGTCTGTACATGGTGTGCTTTGTACATTTTGACTTGGAAATGTGCTTCGCGCCACAACGGCATGCACTTTTTCGACATCTGAACCTCCAAAAATGGTCCTTACATGGTGTGTTTTGTACATTTTGACTTCGAAATGTGCTTCGCGCCACAACGGCGTGCACTTTTTCGACATCGCAACTTCCAAAAGTCGTCCGACACTGAGGTGTTTTGTACATTTTGACTTGGAAATGTGCTTCGCGCCACAACGGCGTGCACTTTTTCAACATCTCAACTTCCAAAAGTGGTCCGAGAATGGTGTGCTTTGTACATTTTGACTTCGAAATGTGCTTCGCGCCACAACGGCGTGCACTTTTTCAACATCGCAACTTCCAAACGCGCTCCGGCGCTGAGGTGTTTTGTACATTTTGACTTGGAAATGTGCTTCGCGCCACAACGGCGTGCACTTTTTCATCTCTCATCTGGCCAGGTGGCTCCGCACCCGCCGCTTTAGCGAGCCTACTTTTCGACCCTCCTGAGCCACAAATCATTGGAAAAACACAGTGTTCCGCGACTTTCCTACCTTTTCACGCATCTGCATCTTCTTTCTTCTTACCCTCTTTCTCTTCTACTCTTCTTTCTTCTAATCTTTCTCTTCTCTCTGCCTCTTCCCTGCTCTGCTTTTCATCTGTCCATACTGTCGGAAGTTTGACTTCTAAACTTCCTTCGACACATGTTTAAAAACTGAGGGGTTCAGAGGGGTCGTTGGATTTGTGTGGTTGAGTTCCTGCAGCAAAATGTCTAGGAGACTGCAACGAGAGCTTGATTTCACATTAACACTGTTGAAAACTCACAGCGCCAGAGCATATTTGGAAGATGCAATTGGTTTATGGACGCATATTTTCGATTCTCACGTCTGGAGGCGTCAAACACATTGCAATCTTTTCTTAATATCTTGTGGCTCACAAAGACTTTCTTCGAGCGATCCTCACCAATGACATGTGTCTGTCACTCTATCTGACATATATTCTGACATATGCTCTGACATGTATTCTGACATTATATGTGGCATTCTATCTGTCTATCTGGCATTCTATCTGACATTCTATATTATATATGGCATTCTATCCGGCATCTCTCTCTCTCTCTCTCTCCATCTCCAGGAGTCTAGCCAAAGGCTAAAGGCGCGCCAAGCCCACTGACAAGAAGGAGTGATTCAGCCCGCTAGCTAGCGTTATTGCTAGCTGCTTCATAGCGCCACTCCATGCCACGGGCAACAACGAAACTTCCACCACTATTCGACACAACAAATGAAATGGCTCAAAAAACATCGGTGTCTCTTTCAGAAGGGCATCTACATGATTTTGCACAGGGCTTGTTTGGAATAGAAGAACTCGGAGGTGGAAAGTACTGCGCTACAGCCACTCACTGCTCAGAAGGCTTTGGAACAAAGACACTAAACAACTGCCGCGGTATGATAGTTTCCGCGACCCTTCGCCAGCCGTTGACTCGATCTAACTCTAGAAAACAACGGTCAAGGGGGAGAGTCGCATCGGAAACAAAGACTTGCTGTCCATTGGAAGCTTCCCTGGAGGCATCGCCGGGTCCACATGCACGTCTCCAGAAAGTGGGAAAAAATTTCGTCGGCGATTCCGGCACAAGACGCGCCCCATATATTATAACGTTCTATTTGGCATCTATTCTGGCATCTATTATGGCATCCTATCTGATATTCTTTCTGGCATATGCTCGGGGTCCGTGTGTGCCCAGCCGGATCGGGAGCTCGCCATAGGGTTCAGGCCCGTGTGTGCCCAGCCGGATCTGAGCTTGCGATAGGCGTTCGCGCCCAGACAGAGCCGGAGCTTGCATACCCAGACTGAGAAGGAACTGAGGCTGAGCTTCTGGCACTTCCTGCGAAATGCGGGTCCATTGGTGCCCACAGCGAAAACAAGCTGGCGTGGCGGTGGCGGAGGAGCGCGAGGAAAAGGATGGAGGAGAAGGAGGAAGAGCGGATGCACCTTTGTCAAGATCCAGAGACCATCACATTCCCAGTAGGACCTGCCGATCCCCCATTTCGACTCTCAGAAAACCCAAGTCACAGAAGAGGTGGCTGCCAGGCATTCGCTGCAGTCCTGTTTGTTTCTGGGTCGGATTTGAAAATTTTGCCTCGAATTTTCCCGCCCCACCATGGCAATGATTCACCACACTGCTATCCTTAAATGCCTCACATAACCCAAAAGGCTGCAAACTTTAGAGAAACCTAATGTTCTTTTGTCATTTATGATGTTGAAAAATATTTTGCTATAGGCCTGACGCCCTCACCAAGGCGTACCCATGTTGAGCCCCAGCCAGCCCCTCCTGGAAAGCCCTTCCCTGCTCGTGCATCTGCAAGATCAATGGATGCACAAATTCAACCATTAGCATTGCCCACAAAGTCATGAAGCCGAAACAGAATAGAAATGACCACGCCAACGCCTGGCACAGATGCATTGTGGAAAACACAGCTGCATGGTGGTTCAACCCACCTGAAAATATCAAATGGTCAAAAAATAGTCAATTGGGTTCATCATGGTTCATTACCCAACTATAATTGAAAAAAAGACCATTTTGAAACCGCCGACCAGATCAACTATGTACACCTCAAGCCGGGCTGTGCTGAGGCGGACGTTCCCGAACTTATTTTTATGTAAATCCCGCGTATATATATATATATATATATACATGGTATGAAGGAACGATTGCTAAATGACAAAGGCATTCAATTGGTAACTGCAAAGGTGAATGAAGGGACGGACGGACGGACGCGCGGCCGGGCGGGCAGGCGAACAAAGGAAGGAACGAACGAACGAACAAATGGATGAGTGAGTGACTGCATGAAAGAATGAACGAACGAATGAATGAATGAATGAATGAATAAATGATTGATTGATTGAATGGCTGAATGAATGGCTGAATGCCTGAATGATTGCTGAATGCATGGCTGAATGCTTGAATGACTGAATGACTTGAGTTGATTTGAACTGAATTGGAACTGAATTGAATTGATTTTGAATTGAACGAACGAATGACGGGTTGAAGGGGCCCTTGAAAGATTAAGTTGCTAATTTCCGAAGGACCTTTCCTCTTCTGAGGTACATTTTCATTGAGCTACCTCTTCTCTGTGCCACCCACTTCTTGCGTTACTTCATCTTCTCTGTGCTAACTCTTCTTTCAGCGGCTTCTTCTTCGAGCTACCTCTTCTCTTACCAACCATTCTCTGAAGCACCGCTTCTCTGAACCAACGCGTTTCTGGGTAGGATTTCAGGGATCTTGAAATTCCACCCGGTTTTCGGGAAATCACTCTTGGACGGAATTCTTTGCCTGCAATGTTTGGTAGATCCAGGTGATTTATCAAAACTGAAAAAACCTTACACGCATTTACCCATCTTACCAACTATTCGCCATGTTTTCTTCATTTTAGGTTTGTTTCCAAATATGAATATGTCTCCCAAAATCCAAGGGCTTAGACTGTCAACCCCCCATGCTTGTTGAAATCCATTATGTCAACAACTATATTGATGAAACCCCTTGTGTTTGATGGTTTTGTACATTCCCATGAAATCAAAATGATTTCCCCATTGCTATTCCCATCAAATCTCTATGTTGCCCTTATTTTGGCTGGGCCCAGCCCACGCCCTGGCCTTCAGGCAGGTGGCCATCATGGCTACTAACTTCTGCAGCTCCCTGGGCTATGTAATGGGCTTTCACCGTCAAAAATGGCGATTTGATAGGTTTCAAAGTGGATTTTATATGTTTTATACCTTATAGCCTGGCCATTTAATGGGATTTAATGTGATCAAAGGAAGTTAGAAGTCAAAAACTTCCGACAATATGGACAGATGAAAAAGCAGAGGTGGGAAGAGTCAGAAAACAGAAAATGAGAAGAAAGAAGATCAGAGAAGAGAAAGAGTCAGAAGAAAGAAGATGCAGGCGCGCGAAAAGGTAGAAAAGCCGCGAATCACTATGTTTTTCGAAATGTCTTGTGGCTCCAGAGGGTCCAAAAGTAGGCTCGCTAAAGCGGCGGGCCCGGAGCCATCTGGTCAGCTGAGAGATGAAAAATTGCACGCCGTCGTGGCGCGAAGCACATTTCGAAGTAGAAAAAATGTTAAATCACCACATGCCCGGACCACTTTTGGAAGTTCGGACGTGGAAAAAGTGCGCGCTGTCGTGTCGCGAAACACATTTCGAAGTCAAAATGGTGAAAACACATAAAAACACCACATGCTCGGACCACTGGTGGACGTTCAACCACACCACACTACACCACCACCACCACAACAACAACTACTACTACCACGACGACGACGACGACTACCACTACTACGACTACCACCACTACTACGACTACCACGACTAGTACTACTACCACTACTATTTCTACCACTACTATTTCTACTACTACTACTACTACTACTACTACTACTACAAGGACGACGACGACTACTACTACTACTACGACTACTACGACTACTATACTACTACTACGACTACTACGACGACGACGACTACTACTACTACTACTTTTGCTACTTCTTCTTCTTCTACTACTACTACTACTGCTACTACTACTAGTACTATACTACAACTAATGCTACAACTACATCGACTACAACAACTAAAACTACAACTACAACAACTAAAACAACTACAACCACAACTACCACAGCCATAGCTACCACAACTACAATTGCAACTACAATTACAACTCCACTACACTACGCTACACTTCACAACATTACACTAACACTACACTACACTACAATTACAGCAGCAACTGCAACTACAGCTACAACTACAGCTAGAATTGCAACTATAAACTGCAACAACATCAACCACAGCTACAACTACAGCTACAACTACAGCTACCACTACACTACACTACACTTCACTCCACTCCACTACATTACACTACAACTACCACTACAGCAACAACTACAACTAGAACGACAACTACAACCACAACTACAACTCCACTACACTACGCTCCACTTCATGTTCAACACTACATTACCACTACACTACACTACAACTACGGCAGCTTCTACTACTACTGCTGCTGCTGCAGCTACAACTACATATATATATACATATATACAACATTGCAACTACAACATTGCAGCTACAGATACAGATGCAACTACACTACAATACCACTACGGCTACAACTACAACTAGAGCTACGACTACAACTTCAACTGCTACTACAGCTACAATGACAACATTATAACTATCACTGCAACAACATCAACTACAGCTACAGTACAGCTATATACAACTACACTACATTGCAACTACAACTGCGACTGCAACTACAATTACATTGCGCTACACTACACCACACTACATCCAGCACTTGTGGTTGAGGTGACCACTGCAACCACCTCAAAAAAGTTCACAACCACCCTTCGGTCCATCAGTGGGTTCGCTCTGCCATCCATGCATCACAACAACTCACCTCTCCCATAGTGTCCTATCTTTGAAACTTCCGCCACCGCCTTGTGCGGTACTACTGGTATTGATGGAATATTAATAAGGATAAATATTATATATACGTATATAATATGGCTTACAACTCACCAACGATAGTTAATCCCTTCCCCATTGAATTAAACACCTCCTCAGAAACCATGGTGAATGTAGGGTAACCATAGAAAGGGAATGGTTGCAGTAATATTAAGGGGATGGGATTATAGAATTTATGGGTGCTCAACTGTTCGGCATCTTTTGGCGGTTGCTATAGGCCAAAATGAAATCGAAAATGCGTTCCGAAACCCAGAAAAAAAAGGTAACGTTTTCAGACACTTGCCTGCAAGTTTTTTACCTACTCCCAGCAGTTGCACACCACCAAGCACCACGACCAGCAGTACATCCCACCTCAAGGAGCGAGACTTCTGCAGAATTCTGGCCACTCGGAGGACGCGAATCACACGGAGCAGCCGCAAATCTTTCAAGAAACTCAGCTCTCCTGGGAAAACACCTGCAGGGGCTGTCACCCAAAGCAATAAGTGTTTGGGTGTATGGCAAGCATTGGAGCTTGGGGGATTTCCACAAAGACCAATGCTTATCTTATCCAGCCAAGGATCAAGTACCCTGTCTCTCTCTCTCTCTCTCTGATCATTATTGAAATGAACCGGCTGACAAGCAAGATACTAATGACAAGCAGGACATGTAAACGTAAGCTACTTCTTGAGTTGTAACATTCCCACTGTCCTTTCCATTTAGATTGTTCGGCGTGCTTGCAGATATCCCTGTGAACGCCTATCTACACCTTTGTCCTCAATGAATTCGTGCAATTGCGAATGGCTCTATATACAAAGCGGGTGGAGAGATGGTACCAGTCAAGCAACTTCATTCAGAAACAACTATATCGTATCAATTCTTTCTGGTAATGGAAATTCTCCATTACCATCACCACACTAGCCATCTATTGATACTGAATAGTCTATTCCAAGATGCAAAATCCACCCATTCTTGTGGCATAGGTGGTAACAACAGCATGCGTTTATCCCCAACTTGCATGAGTCATGTTGGCAAACCCGGGGTTTACAAACCAGTTACCCTCTGGTATTTGACATAGTTATGAGCAAACCCGTTCCCATAGCAAGCTGTGAAAAATTACCCCTTGCACCCTCGAAGAGCTGGAAGATTGCGTGAAGGTAGCCACAGAGCACCTGACATAAGGGGACATAGCGGGGTATCAACAAACAGAGAACCTCAGTGTCAGGATTGTCAGGGCTAATTATCATGAATCCTAAATTGGAAATTGGATCCTTCCGACAGAATCTTCGAAAAAAAAAGCACCTTGCATGACTCTGGCCCTGGCAATCCCATGACATATGTGTGGTGCCACATCCAAACAACAACATAGATACCTATAGGCTATAGGACCTCTGCGTCTGTTGGGAAAGAAATTGTTCAAAATAAAACGTGGAAATGACACACAGAACTTCTGCTGATGGAGACCAAGCACCGTGAAGACATCGAACAGAATCTCTGGCTTTTTGAAATGCTGTAAGCCGTCCACCCAGCAGCCAACCACCAATTCCAGTGTGTAAATGCCCAAACAAGATTCACCAATGATAGAGACATACAAGGGTGGCGGATCGCCCATGGCACGCGCGTCTGTGGCAATCAAAGTACACACGGTATCAATCCTTGGGGCCGATCTCATGGAAATCTAAGGGTCCCCAATCAGAAAGGCCTGGGCCAATGGGTCCTGAATCCCACTCAAACCTTAGGAGCACCTTTGGGGCACCCTCAGTCCAGAACATCGCTGCATTGATATCCTCTGGTTTTTACGTCTGAACGGCCTGGGTCTCGCCCGCAAACTGGGCCTCAGCCTCAAACTTTTGGCCCAAGAATGACTCGCGCACGTAATCCAAGTGGCCACCATCAAAATCTGGTTTTGGATATGACAAAGGAGCAGTTCTGGTTAGAGGTGCCCGGAAACAGGTGCAAAAATGATATCCAGATCTACATGCATATGTGCGACTCTTTCTCTGCTCAAGGATGATGAAAACAGAGACTTGCATGGATTCTCATCGGACTATGCACAAATCATATCCGTTTGGTGGTTTCAACCCAGCTGAAAAATACGAGTCAGTTGAGGACCCTCTCAACACAACATGGTTGCAGATGCAACAGGAAAGTACTTGACTCCACCAGACTATTGCTGATACCCCTGTACTTGCTGCTATGTACTTTCATTCGTCTACTGGATATTTCCTTATTTTTCTGTCTGTTCATTCCTTTACTACTTCATGTGAAGCAGCATTTTTCCAAGCTCTTGTATGTTCTATGCCCATTCTTACTGTAACCGTAGTAAGATCGAACAAACCCAGAGTCAAAGTCCTCCCATTGTAGCATTTGATTCATGTTGATTCTGTATATGGACGTGTGTAAAAATACCATATCCCTAATCCTAAGTCGACTTGTGGGTCATTATTTTCCGTCTTAACATTGCCATTTGAGGTTCCATCCCCCAATCTGCAGACACACCGCCACGATACGGTTGTACATCCTACATATATATATATATATATATTTACAGAAATATATGTATATATATATATGTGTGTGTGTGTGTCTATAATTATATATACATATACCATTACCATCTATTACTACTGTACCATATACAGCCCATATCATCCACAGCGTCAAAATTATCGCGGTGAGGACGTTCACCGAGAGGTCGCTGCGCAACACTGCCGCCACCTTGGCCCTGAAACTGCTGGTCTCGGTCTCGCTGGGACCTTCCACCTGGCAGTTGGGGATGGCATCCAGGAAAAACCATGAAACACAATGGAAACACTTGGTTTTTGGGTAAAGATCCCCCGGAAACCATGTTTTCATAGGGGAGTTGCACATATTTGTGACCACTGAGCGGCGGTGGTCAAAAATTTTTGAGGGGATGGAATTGGCTGAGGGCGGTGCAGAAGCCCGTTGCTAAAGCCTGGCAGTTACCTTTGAAGGCCAAAAGGTTTCTATGACACATTATATTAGATATATATATATATGTATATGTATCTAATTATCTGATTAATTATCTATATATCTAATTTGTATGTATATGTATCTAATTATCTGATTAATTATCTATATATCTAATTTGTATGTATATGTTTATGTGTGCGCGCATGTATCTACAATGGGGTGAAGCAAATAATAAATCATCCCCAATTTCACCAGAAATGGAATGGCATAAGCCCCCCGTCATTTCCTTCACTTTAGCCATCACGTTGTGAGGCACAAAACCACCCTTTATTTCACCCAAACAGTGATGCTCATGTTATGTGACCCAAAAAAAGAAACCGTCACACCATTGGTGAAGGCCGAGGGGACCAATTCTTCACTAAGTCTCATTCACTTCTACGAGTACTTTCATCATTGCATCTATATAATTACATCTATCGTATACTATATAATCATATATAATCAATATCAGGGCCGTCAGGACCCCTGTCATTTTCCAACTCGCGCCTTGTGAAATTCGGCCATCGATAACTTCTTCCGCCCAGCAGCAGGTGAACCCGACCTCGCGAATGGGCGGTGGGGAGCATCCTGCCATATCATGGCTATACGATGGCATATGTTATAAAATGCACATGTATATGTATATGTATATGTATGTATATATATATATATGTGTGTGTATGTATGATTATGTATGTATATATATCCACTTATGTATCGAATAAACAGCCATAGAAATCAGTTTTTTTTAACTATGTATGTATGCGTCTGTGTGTGATAGCATATTAAAGTGACAAGTATGAGAGTATATGCATAGTGTTTTTGTATATATTACCACTCATCCAACAACAATTGCACTGCCAGGCAAGTGTTTCAGCTGGCCGACTTCAGGGGCCCTCAGGCCAGTGAAGCCATTCCAATTTGCTTAAAGTAATGTCTCCAAGCCAATCATCAACCGATACGTTTGCAGCTTAATGAAAGGTAAAGACAACAACTTGCTTCAACTCTGGTAAAATTATAGTATATAATTATGTAAAATTACTGCGTGTGATTCTTCATGGAGTTTTCTGGGCTTGTGTGTTTCCCTCCCAAAAAAAAAACGGTCCGAGAGACGCCGACGAGGCGGACGAAGTGTACGAGGCACGGGCGCTCCGGGCACTGGCTCGACGTCTGGCGGATCCCGAGTCATCGGATCCGGATCCCTCGGATCTCGGTCGCTGGGGACTGCCATCAACGCTGCCCCTGGAAGTGGATGGGGTTGGTCGATATTTCGAAGGGAGACCCCAGGACCCATGTTTAGTCCAGGAAATTGAGGAACATGGTGCTTCTGACCGTGGGGGGTTGGAGGTCCCTAATCTTGAAATATACCGTGATATACCCATAGATCATCATAGATCTGTGATTTCAGTGGGTAGAACATAACAGAACCAAACACCGTAACTAAATTTAAAGTTCCGACGTCTATGTACCTTGAAAGTACCGACGTCTATGTACCTTGAAAGTACCGACGTCTACTGGCACATTTTGCATTTGACAGGTCCTTTTCTCTGAGCTGTCCAAGCTCTGTACGTCCGAATGTGTGCGGCTGCAACGTGCTCGTGCAAACAGCGCGCTCTCCCATTGGAAATATGTTTTCCAAGGACCCGTGTGTATGATGGAGTTACATGTCTGTTACCAAAGGGGGTGCATCAACCTGGGGCAAACGAGAATGCCCCGCAAGGCACATCTGGGCATGGTATCAGGAGTTCATAGGAATTCGCCCTGCAGTCCTCCCAATTCAATTCTGGGGTGTGTTCCCCCGACATGATCCTCGGGCGATCATGGCGAAAGTCGCCATGTTACGTTTCAAAGAGAAGCCATCTACAAATTGGTGATTTCCCATTGACGGGTTTGATTACCATGGGCTACCATCTGGCCCTTCCCCCCCAGGACCCTTCATGCTAAATATGCTAAATCCTCCCACAGCAGAACCTTGGTTCCTGGTTTGGTTTTGGGATCTATGATCTGTTCATGGTGGGATCACCATGGGGCCAAGGAGGTCGACCCCACGGCGCCTACTCATCCTGCTCCTCTCATTGGACGGAGCTTCGGATGGACTTTGCCTCTCTTCCTCCATTGGCAAACCAAGGCTCGCACGCGCTCCCGAGCCAGAAGCTGCGGGTCGTATGTGCCCAGCTTTTGGTCCATTGCCCCATGCTGCACATCTCAAAAGCCCCAGAGCACAACATAAGGACTTTATGGGACTCAAACTTGGCAATGATAAGATGCCTCATGAAAGTTGTTGCAACGTGTGATGGTCCGGCCAACCAGTTTCAGAGCAATAAAGTACCCCACGTGTGTCGGCCAAACCCAATCATCGTCCCAAAACTCTGCGAATACCCTGGAATATGATCGAAGAAACTCGCTGAATCCTGGCTGAATCCCCTCAAGTAAGATAGACCCGGCTTGGAAGACTAGTTCCCAATCTACAAATGAAGGGCGGTTTTCCCAGAGTCAAACTATCAGTTGGGGGGATGGTATCTTCAATCTCCATTTGAAAGGGATTACCGTGGCACACACAACTGTAAGCCATCCAATGTGCCATGGTATAATTTCATATCTCTCTCATATCATATAACGTAAGAATGTGGAAAAAAAAAAACGTTTTCCCCGGTTCATCCCCCGTCCATTTCACCATTGCGCCTCTGAATGATGCGGCAACCATAGACGTGCATGGCCATCTCGTTGGCGCGGCGCGCCACGGCGGCCACCACAAAGCCCAGATCATTGGGGGACAGGTGTTCCTGGCCCGAGCCATGGTCCGCCATTTTTGGGGAAAATCTGTGGGAAAGCTGGGGAAACTGCACCATTTTTCGGAAAAGCATGAAGAAACCATGTGTGAGGTGAGTTAGTGGATGGTGGTAAAGAAGAAGGCCATTACACTATGGAATGAACAAAAAAAACAAAAGCATCCACAAAGTGATCTTTAAACTTGAAACCCATCGATGATGCAGAAATAGACAGAGAGAGGGAGCCCTCCTATAATCTAGGGCCGCATTGCTTCAGCCACAACCAGAATCGCCCTGCTGTCGAAGGGCAACCACCTTTTGAATCACGTGGTTCCCGTTCATGTCATGGATGCACTCGACTACCTGGTGGGCCGCTGGAGCATGGGGTGGTAGCTGGGAGTTGGTGTTGTGTCTCTGGGGATTGGCTGGATTTTCCCAAAGCTCAAAAAATGATGGATGAACCTACAAAATCAAATCAAATTCAGAGTGCAACCAATAACGCTGATAGCTGCACTAAGCATGACAGGTTCCGCATGGTTCCGCGGCCTCGTCCTGAATCTCAGCAGTGAGATCCGCCTTCTCCTCCGATGGCAAGGCTTCCAGCATCTTTTGCATCACCTCAGTTCGGACACTCGTTGCTTCGGGCGACAGTACTGGCAATGAGTCAAAGTGACCTTCGGATTCCTGGCAAAGTGGGTAATCTACACATCTGATATGGCTCACGATTCACTATACTGGTCATCATTACATCATCATTACCTATCCTTAGATGGTTTCAAAGCATTCTGATGGGACTTGTCATGGCAAAGCTTTGCGTACACATGTGCAACATTTAAAAAATACACTATGTATCTAAACGACTCGCACGTGATGATACAAATGTATATATATATATATGTGTGTGTGTATGTGCATGTACATATGCACAGCATATGTGCAAACCGTTAAAACATACAGATCACCAGAAGTTATCACCAAATGATATCACCTAACATCACTATAACGTAACATTATATCAACTACATTGTTATAACATGCTATAAGATAATATATATATATATACACAATATAACTACATTATGCAACTATGTGATGAAACGTACTACTTCGTGCTACGCTATGCTCCGCGGCGCCCTGCATCCGAACTTGTCCTGCGAGAGCTTCATGACCTGCAGACGCGCTGCATTCAACCCTGAAACCCTAGGGCCCGTTCGTCAATCAAAAAGGAAAAAATGTCAGGGAGTTAACCAACAAAAATAGTTGGTAGTATCATGGGATATTAATAGTTGGTAATATCATGGGATATTTTTTGGGCTGTATATCTCCTCTATTGGTTTACCATGTTCACCCCTAGAACTCTAGATCTAATTTATCTAATTTGACAGTGGAAAAATGTGGAAAATCCGCAATTCATGGATGATTTCTCCCAATGTTATGGCTTGTAAGTCAACCAGTGTCCAGTGGGACGGTCCATGCGCTCAGATCTCCAGCCCCATTTTTGGGGCTTCAACAGCGTGACTCCAACAGCCCTGGTTCCCCTACGAAATGACCTATAAATTGGTTGATTCACCTATTAAAGATGGTGATTTTCCATAGCTATGTTTTCCCACATCGAGTTTTACAAAAGAACATGGATGTGTCCTACGCCCGACCATTGCGCTGCACCGAGGCGCATGGCCCTTGACCTGTTGCAAGATATCGCTGTGGTCCTGCGAATCGCCCGTTTCCAGCAGCTTCTGCACCACGAAGTTCCCAAATTGGTCATAAGACAACTTCACCTGTGGGCGCCCATCGGAAGCCCATGGGAGAATCCTGGTGAGCGATTCTCAGGGATAGCTAGGAAAGGCCTGGTTTACGAACAGGGAGAGGCACCAATGTAAACAAGCTTTCATTTTTTTGGGGGGGACCCCTAATTAATCAATGGAGTTGATTAATCCAGGGTTGACACTACAAATAACCTGGCTTACTTGGCTTCTTAGACTTGGTCACCAGTCGCCAGCTCACTCTTGCCAAACAAAGGCTGGCAGCCTGATCCGCTTTCCACCATATTGCCAGGGATTGGAAGTTGGCTGGCACCCTTGCACCTCTAAAACCACTGCAAATAGTTGAACCCGCAGCAAGGGGCATTCACAGCAATGCATCTGACGTTCCCACCCCACAGCTCATGCGTCGTGCCACATGCCATCCAAAAAACTATTGCAACCCGCAACCCAAAAAGGTGGGCCCTGGTGGAAGTGCTCTCAGTGCTTCCACGTCACTGTAGCAGGTATTGCTAACTCAAAGATTTTTTTTCTCTCCTCGCCAGGGCTTGATTCATCCTTGCTTGAACAAGACTATTGGACACTGTTAGGACTCAACGAGGTCCACCCCCCAATCTATGCATACATATATATATAATTTACATTTAATATAATATAATATAATACAATATAATAATATATACTATACTATGATATTGTATTATAATTATATCATAGTATGCTATATTATACTATATTATGTTCTATTATGTTATGTTATATTCTATTATACTATATTATATTATATTATACTATATAAGATTGTATTATATTATACTATACTATATAATATTATATTAGATTATATTATATTAAGTTATAATAAATATATATATATATATGATCCCAGCGAAGTTCCTCATCCTGCAACCTGACCCAAGCCACAGTAAACTCACAAGTGGCTTAATCGCCCCAGGTCCTCTTCAGTGCAATTTCCCTTCAGCTTCCATTGTAGGAAGCGGCTGCCGTCTTGTTCCTGCGCAGCCTTGACCAATCTGGGAAAAACCTGCGGCCGGAGCCGGCAAGAACTCCACAAGATTTCCATTTCCGAGCGCTCCATCGTTGTCAAATGAGTTCAGGGGGGCACCTTCATGCCAAATTTCTCCTAATCTGGGATCTTGGAATTCTCTCCATGTCCAGATCCAGGCTGTGACCCAGTGCCCCAACCCGCCTCGGCCAGGGTCAGATTGATATCAGCACCATCCACCTCTCCATCTTCGCCGCCCTCCTCACGTTCACGTTTCCGTTTCCGCTGAGGCTCCTTCCAGTGGCATGATGCGAATAGGGCACGCACTTGGTTCCACACGGGACACATGGAAATGCTCAATTGATGATAATTGATGGTTGGAAATTCCACAAGATCACGAATGGTTGGAAAATGGATGGAAACAGTCATCATTCCAACCATCCATGGTTCTTTCGCCTTGATCGCAACCTCCCCCTGGCCTTGCCACGCTTGCCGCCTCCTTTTCCGCGCTTCTCTGGCGTCCTACTCCTGACACCGTTAGCGGCCCGACCAATGGATCAGCACAAACGGATCAATGAAAAAATGCCCCCAGGCCGTAAATGAAAAAAAGTGGTGCAACTCAACCACAGAGGAAGGTCCCCCCCTATTTTTGGTTACCCCTGCTGGAGTGATGGCTCCAATCCACCTCCTTCGAGGAGATCTTCTTGGGGAATCATGTCGGTAGTGTGGTGGCGGTCCATAGTGCCCGTAATATCCAGGAGGCGGTGGGTAACCTCGATCTGAGCGCATGACCCTGACATCGGCAACGTTTTTCAACTTGTTCCAACCATTTCAAAAGGAATGATTTTTGAAATCCCCAATTTCATCCAATTTCATAGAACACTTTTTGACCAACCCCTTCCAGGATCTCCGACAGGTTTGGGCCAACAGGACTGAAAGTGGTGTGCTTTGCTAAAAAGTTGCAGCTGACCAATGCAACAAGGGGCCTGGGCCTGGTGGTGGATATCCTGGTGGTGGATAGTGTGGTGGCGGCTGTCCATAGCCATAGCCAGGTGGTGGCGGATAGTACCCACCCCCATAGGCACCTGGGCCTGGGCCTGGGGGTGGCTGGTAATGCCGCGCATAAGGATCATAGGGATCATAGGCAGGTGGGCCCGGTGGGCCCGGTGGGCCCCTTTCATAGGGGTCCCTGTAGTCATACCTCTCCGGCCGGCGCTCATAGGGATCATAGCCGTAGCTATGACTGGGGGGCGGCGCACCAGCGTAGGGGTCCCGGAAATCCGGTCGCTCTTCACGCCGGGGGTATCTGTAGGGATCCTCGCGGTAACGAAATTCCGACATGGCGCCAGGGGTGGCGATGTTGAAAAGCTCTGGTGGGTGTAAGTGCTAAGCACAGTTGAGGAACTCATCTGGAAGCGGAAGGTTTAGAGTAGGGTTGGATAGTGTTGGAAAGTGATGGTAAAAATGAGTTCGACGCTCCTTTTTGCTGTTTTTCTCAGGTGGGCGGGTCTGGGGTTTGGGGACAGGCCTCAGCCTCAAGGTTTGGGTACAAAAGGGTAGGGCCTGAGTGCTCAAAATAACTTCGGATGACCCAGGGTCCTGTGGAGCAACTGTGCACTGCCAGTATCCTCAATTTACCGTGGTTGTTGCTGGTTTGGCTGAGGGGCCTATCCGATCAATTTTGCACATTTGGCCGGGCTTCATTCTTTCCTGGGAAGTGGCCCCTTGAGCTCATAAACTGCGGGGAAATCGGCCACCATCCCACTCTCAATAAGAATTACTTCTCAAAAGCTCAAAGGCTTCGTCACCATCCTGGGCTCCATGCCACCGACGTGGACTTTTCATCACCGGCAGCTCCTTTTTGCTGCCGCAACAGCCTCTTCTGCCGCAGAAATTTCGGAAAGGCTGCGCCTATTTCACGCCCTTCAGGAAGTTTTTGGCATCGAAGAGAGACTCCACCTGCCAGCGATTCGATGCCTATGAGTTCTGCAACAAACCACACCCCATTCTAGCGTCTTGGGGGGTATAGATTTAGCCTTTGGGCATTGGTTATGTTAGTTTATGGTTGGGCATACCACCGGTGGGCTTCAAAGTGGCCATTGAGGCAACTGACGCCTTCTTGGACTACCCCTGCTGCTAAGTTGATGAGGACGACACTTGCCCAAAGATACCAACAAGTTCTCCCGTCCCACGCTTACATCATCGCATTGACCCCCAAAATCCTCGGTTTTGTCATGTCTAGTCAGAGCCAATGGTTGATCTAGACTAATCTAGACTTCATCGGATTCTTTGATATGTTTTGGAAAACCACCGGTTTCCCATGGTTTCCCATGGTTTCCCCTTGAAAAACCATTGGTTTCCTCGTAGATTTCCCAAATCCATCGAACTCGTCCAGGCTCCCGAGGCTGCCTCCGCGCTGCGCGCCATCTGCCGTGCATCAAAGTTCTGGAGCGTAAAGTCGCAGGTCTAGCCGGTCTCGGACTTCTACCGGGCTTCAAATGGGGACTCCAAAGGAACCCGTAGATTTCCAAGACCCCAATTTGATGAAATCACGAAACATCCAAAAAAAGGCGGCAAATTTCTCTGAAACGTCAAACCCCCAGAAAAGTTCGAGTTCCTCACGGAAATCCATGACCCGTCTTGGAAGCCAAACCCCTTCTCGGGGCATCCAGGGACACCATGGATGTTTGGTACTGGCCCACTATTGGCCCCATAGAAAAACCTTCACTATCCGGCAGCATTCCAAATTTCTGATGCATAGGGATAACCAAAGAGAATAGGTTGCACATACATGCATACATATACAGATACATATACATATATATATAGAGAGAGAGAGAGAGAAAAAAAAAAGTGGGGTTGTGCAGGATTTTTTGGCTATCCCTCGTGGGCCTGTAACAGCTGTAGGTTGGGCTGTAAAAAAAACAGATACCTGTGGGTTATATCGACTCATAATGATGTCTGTTCTATTTTTATGGCACCCACAGGTCCAATTGCTGGCAAACTGTGGATGTCAGCAATATAATATTTGGGAGACATGCTATGCTACGCTGTGGGCGGGTCCCAACGAACTTGTAACTACATGATAACACATTTCATACTATGCTACAAGCACCACAGACAAATTCCGTACAGTACACAAATACAAATCATTCTGAGTGTAATGAATGACACAACAGTGAGACACATCCCAGCAGCCTCGACCGAAGTCCTTGAGGATCAGATGGGAGAAACATTCTAAACCCCTGCATGCCCTGGATAAGTTTCTTGCCCCGATTCATTGGGGATCACCCATTCATCACCCCCTCAAGATCCACTTCAACAAGGTTGTCCCACCCACTGATCGACCAGGGGCTACTCATTCTACTCATTGGGGCTGGCAGTAAGCCTGAAAGTGTAAGTGTAGATGGCCGTGATTGGAGGATTCACTTGTGAAGTGACGCTCTTTCTATTCCTCCGGATTTGCTCATGTGCCTCTGTAGGCAGCACTTTTTTGGGTCACAAAAGGCAAGGCGGTCAGAATCACGCTGAGAACTGCATGGTGGTATTCATGGTATGTGCCAAAATTCAAAAGGTGGAAGCCCTTTGCTTAGGTCAATGCGGCTTCAAATCCTGCCATCTTGGGCCTGAAACATGACCAAGTGAATTGTTCTCTTCCCATTGGCCTCGAAGAAAAACCGTTAATTAATAGTTAATATGAAGAAACAATGGCAACGCACCACTCACCAAAATCAAAGCCTGCGGTCCACCATTAGGCCATACCTCTAAAAATCAGAAACAGTAACAGCTCAAACAGTTTCACAACACCCTTTGGTACTCGCAACTGGCTCCTTAGTAGCTGGAAAATCCCTCCACTTCATATCGAGAATTTCTCCAACAATTTTTGCATCTGAAAAAAACAAAAAAATACGTCTATGCAGATACGTATATGATACCTAAATAGAAAGATGATGTACATTGATTTTCCCTGTATTTCCTATGACTAAAATGCAGATTTCTCCAGCCAGCCAGCCACGGATACCCTTCAGGGCTTTCCACGCCGGTTTAACGTCACAGGCGCAAGGCCCGCGGCGGCGTGATTCGTTCACCTTGCACGACATGCACATCCTCGGGGTCCTCCTCGACGTCGCCCTCCACCACGGGCAAAATGTCCAGCTGGAAGCCCTACATGGCGAAGACTGGGATGGGGGGAATGCCATTGCCCCCTGGTTTTACCAATCCCTAGGAACTTGTTGTTTAGGGGATTATGATGGGTTCTGGGATTAATGGAATTAACTTCAACTGGTTTTGCGGAGAAAAAACCTGTTCTGATATATTCTAATTTGTCCAATTTTGGGGATATGTATGGCTAATGTCCGTTTACATATCCGAATGCGTGAAGTGTGTCAGTCATTAATATGTAGCAAGTGACTATTGGAAAAGGCATGAAAAAGCAATCTTTTTAGGGCCAGCAGCCCTCATTCTTGAGACAATACGTCTGTGTAATGCTAGTGAATGGCTTGGTTCTACTCTGTACGACTATTTTCCTCTGAAACCCATGCCCTTCTGGGGTCATCTCAAAACTTGGCCAATGATGAATTTTCCATGATTATCCTCATTGTCGTTTCCGAACTCTCAAATAAATATTGGGACAAGTATGAATTATCCACATTTCTCCTCAATTCTGTGTTGGTTGATGTTGGTTACTTCCAACTTTTCGCCAAAGCCATGCCATGGATGTCATGGCCTGTTGCCGCTGCTTGGCACCCAGCAAATGCAGGAAACGCCTCAGCTCGCCTTTCGTCATCACCTTGGTCTCCAGCGCTACTGCGAGGCTTCCTTAGGCGTGGCCAACATGGGGGATCTATGGGGGGCTCCCCTTAGTTGGTAAAAGCCAACTAAACCTATCATGTCCGAAACCCAATAATAAACCCAACATTTGGACAAATGGTTTATACGACCCATTTCTGGTAATTTTGGGAATGGTTTGTTATCGGATTTGCCACATTAGCATCCATTAGCTATATTTCAGGGAGCCATCACGCAGTGGAGAATGAAATAAAATCCGACACCAACCACAAGAGTGGGTTGAAAAAACACCAATAAGCATCTTGCGTTCCCCGCGGTCTACCTTGTGACCTACCAGTAGCAATTACACAACATCCGCCGGGCTTCCAAGGACCTTGTCCGAGTTTTTGGTATCTCTGAGTTCAGGATGAAATTCCATCCATGGAGCACAATGGCCTAGATCTGCCACCTGTAATTCAGCCTTGGCCACCGTCCTGCCGAGGAAACCTTGCAGCAACCGCAGCCGGACGCGGTTGGAGCTGGTCCGGTGGCCCAAGAAGAGGCAAGTGGTGCTGAAATTCGCGATGACATCCTCGAGGAGTCCACCGAAACCGGCAGAAAACATCTGGTAGCGTCAGGGTTCCCTCTGAAATGCTTTGAAACACAAGGTTATATGTCCTTTTGTGATCTTTTGTGGTGGGTTAACATGGAGAAACAAAATTGGGCCTTTAGCCTCTGCCACATCACAGATAGTAGCTAGTAGTGGTCAGAAAACCCCCCTGTCCAAACATGATCCATCTGGCTTGCCAAAAAAAAACGCGGGTGTCTTTTTTTTAATGGTGCCCAAAGATCCAACGGTCAGTCATGATGCATGTTCCATCATTTCCCTATCAAACTAACTATTTTGGGCCAATTGGGTATTCGTTTCCTATTTTCAACATCCACAGCCCTGCAGCTTCACCAAACAGCATGGCGTGTGGATCCGGTCCTGATCCGGCCGATCCAGTCTGTGTACAAACCTGGCCGCTGCCGGTGCAGCTTGGTGAGAAAGCTTGGCCTGTGCAGTGTCGCAAAGAATTGAGACACCCGGGGCGCCGTACTTCACACGCACCTTCAGCTGCTTGCGGCTCAGCTTACGTTGGAAGAGCCCACTCTGTATATGTACGGCCAGGATCTGTACCTTGGGACAGCAAAACGCCCAAGCAGTTTGCACGCAAGAATCGTAGAGAAGAAATGAAGAGAATACACGTGCTGCACCCTGGTGGAAAGAAACCATTGGAAAGCGTCACATCCCTCAGGAAATTCCAGGCATCCCCAAAAAGAACCATTTCCCCCGCCAATCACCTCGAGATGCAACCATCATTTCCGGTGGATTTAGAAAGGCCCTTCGGCGTGCGAGCAATATCCCTTCTCACTACCAGGGAGAACCACAAAAATCGCGCAACAGCTCAGACAAGTGCAGACGCCATATAGCAGCAAAAGCACAAATAGGATTAAAAAGGATTTGATGGTATAAAAAGGTTGGATTATGGCTATAATACTGATTTGCTTATACCACCATGCTTACATCCCCATTTGATGAAAAATGCCAAGCCATCCAACCAATAGTGTTCTTTTGGACAAAAATAAATGAGTTCGCCATGGGAGACCCCTCTATCAACCAGTGGGATGTCCATCCCCAAGCTGATCATCATTGATCATCCCCATCCAGGTGGGGCCATCAGATCCATATCCATCCCAGGTGACCCAGGTGCAGGGGCCGCATCATCCACCTGTTTGGCGTCCATCAGCTCCGGAAGCGTCACCGGGCCGCGCCGCGCCTTCTCCGACATCTTCTCCACCCGATGGGCGGCATAGATGGCTACCGCACCCGTGGCCAGAAGAATGGACACAGGCTCCATTGGCAAAGAAATTCCAAATAAGCCAATGCTCCTGAAAAACAAGGAATAGCAAGGAATAGCAAGGAATAGCAAGGATCAGAAGCATCAGGATGCTCTTGAAGCTGTCGAATTGATATAATATGATACAGTTGGATATCGTATGATCTATTTGAGATATCGATCTGCTGGTATGACAAGCCCTGGGAGGACGCAATGGAAGCCATCTGTCCAGCTGTTCTGGCTGGGATTAAGGCCAGCCATGTGGCCTACTGCAATTGGGGAGCCTATACGGTTTTTGAGCCATCAAGACAAATTGCATAGCAGGACGATAGAATTATGTTTGCTTCAGCTTACAGTGCATTAATCGACATAAATCAACCAAAACCAATCAAAATGGGATAAATTTGTGTTGTGGCTTGAAAGGGTGAATGAACAGAACAGGTTTAAGAAAAAAGGACCAACATTATGAAACCCATCAGGAAATCGGGATTGATATCCACGCTCATTTGCTCCTGCTTGATGGTTTGATGGGGAGATCAATAACGAAGAGAACAGAAGGTCAAAAAAACGAAAATGTGAGTGAGAATCAAAGATTTCGCCAGACACAAGCCATATGACAATGTGAATGAAAAACATATCGAAGCAAAATTTCACGAAAAAAAAAGTTGGGGAGGTCAACCAGAAGTATGTTGGGAAGGCAACATGATAATAATTGAGCAAAAGCTTGAGGCCAGGGGGTAAGTGATGTAAGTGACGAAAGCTAGTAGGCGAAATTAAATCAAGGCCCGATGTTTATGGGTTGACAGGAGGCAATAACAGTAGACAAATATGTGCACAGCTGCACATCCTTATCGTCCTGTTGTGTTTCGTCAGGTAACGATGTTTCCAGGCGCAGGGAAGATGTTGCCTGGAAACCTGTGTGGTTGGATGGGAAAGTAGGTGTTGCCCTGGGGGGGGGAGGCTTTGCTGAAGTACCATATATGGATATGCACGGGTTTGTGAGGAAACAATGCACTTGGGGCCTAGTGCAGATATCATTTAGAGCTCAGGGACCCCGACTTCACGTGAAAGTTTCAAACAATGCATGGTTCCGGACCCTGCTATATTCGTTGCGAAAGCAAGAGCAACTTCTGCTAGCTGACGCTAGCCCTTCTGAAATCAGCCATCAGCAAATGAGTATATCAACCATCAAGAAATTAAAATTAGACGGGATTAAAGGTCGGCAAAGTCGGCCGTCAATTAAATGCGGAAGTGAATGATGATCGAAAATACACGAGGATACAACCAACAATAAATGGAGAGAATCGAACCATGAAGAACTTAGGATATGAATCTGAACCTGCCAAAAAATACAAATGAAATCAGCTTTGAAACCCATCAGTCCTGATTGGCCACCAGACTCTTGTAGTCCGCAACTGACTTGTGCAGGCGGCCCCGGCTGTATATTTTGGGCCAGTAACTGAGGCACTGAGGCGGAATCAAACAACCCTCCTTTCCCCGGAGTCCAAGGTGATGATACTTGCCCACATCACATGTCAGTCCGCAATGAACACATCAGCTGAATTCCCCCTTTTTTCGCAGGTTAGGATACCACTCGGAAGGACCCTGGGTCTTTTTGGTGAGGGCAGGGAAGGGGACAAGAATGAGTTTCCTGCATGGAACGTTTCCTCCACCGCCCTGTTCGGATCTCGAACCTCATGCAACTGCACTTCCGTGTCTGCCAGCGTGTCCACCTAGCTTAGCGGGACACGGCACCGGTGTCCACCATCACAAAGTGAAAAACATCTTTGTCCCGTACCAAAAGCAATCACCAAACTGAGGCGCCATGGGGAGTATTTAAGCTGCTTCCCAAGTGAGAGCCAGATTAAGTGAAGACTTTCAAGTTCTGGAAAGGAAGCCGAAGCCCGAAAAGGCCCCAAAAGCTATCCCACAGGAATGCCATTCAAAAACTTCCCTACCTCTTTCTCCACACCCTTCTTGGACTGTCGGGTCATCACAAACTTCTCTTCAAGCTTGGCTTTTTCAGCTGCCTTCGGGGCTCGCAGGGGAGAAGGTGGGAAATCCCCTCTTCATTTCACAGAGTGTGAAGCGCTCCACTTATTTTCTATCATGTGGTAAACCCAAGAATAAACACAATAAACCATCCCCAATGGAGGTTTATGAAATTGGGTTTACCACCCCAGGGGTCGCCAGAACCTCAGGATGTCAACCCTGCTGGTGGCTTGGGGCCTTGTCTTCCAGAGCCTTGCCCTTGGTCTTCAAGGCGTTGATCGTCTCCTGAATAGGGAGCACTGGCAGCAGGGGAAGTTGTGATCGAAATGTGGGCTTGGGTCAGTGGAAAATCCCCGCAAAATGATCATTTTTTAACAAGCTGAACCATCTAAAAAAGTGGGTCAAACCATTGCACAAACTTTTTGTTTGTATTCTTCAACGTGCTACGAATGGCTGAAGTCTGCAGGTTCGTCTTCAATTTTGATCCATCCCCATGCGGGATTCAAATTCAAGACCAAAACAAGCACTTACGATCGCAAATGACTTGGCAGGCGGGATAAGATGGAACAAAATATGATAAAATAGATATAAATAAATATATAAATGTTCATATATAATTACAAAGTCACACATCACATGAAAATAAGTGTACATATATATATACTGTATATATATGTACACATGCAATTCATAAAAGTTCCCCAAAAAAAAAAACATGTTCTTGGTGAATCTCCCCCACCACTTCCGCCCTGTTTTTGGCGCCTTGCCGAAGGCCTCGTAGTCCTTCTGCGCCTCGCGCTCCGCGGTGGAGGACTCGACTTCCATCGCCTTGGCGTCCGCGATGAGCTGCTGCAGCATCAGCATCACCTGGGCACTGCGGGTGCACCATGGTGGATGTTGGGGGTTACCCTTCTGGTAACTGAAAATGACCTATGTATATATATATACATTACATGATTTATTTATTACTTGTTTATTTATATTTATATTCATATTTATATTTATATGTACAATTATATTTACATTTATATTTGTGTATATATCTAGTTATTTATTATATGTATTTATATTTATCTATGCATCTATTTATTTGTTCCTTATTTATTTGTCGATTATTTATCTATGTGTTTATATATTTATGCATGTTTTTTGATTTATTCATTCGACTTTTATGTGTGTGTGTGATCTTCCTATGAAACAATGGTGATCTTCAACAGCGATGTTAAATGACCAGAGGGTATAAACAGGGAATCTAGCCAACAAAGTTATGGGGGTAGACTGTTTTAAGTTATAGGGATTAAATGCGAAGATCATGGGGGTTAACAACCATCATTTGGAGGTTATATGAAGGACTTCACCCCAAAAGTGGAAAAATCAGCCAACCATTTGGATTGGGACCTTGATATGAGATATCCATTGGGACAATATGTAGATCTCATATCAGTTCGATATCTAGCATAATTTACTTGTATACCATGTGTACAGCAGAGCTCTCAGCTCAACAATTGAAGTTGTACGTATGATCAAGGTTGTACTTGCATATAGAGATATATGATATATATATAATTATATATATATGTGTGTGTGATATATTGCTAGTGTTGTAATTTTAGTTCTCATCAATTGATCTGCGAACCAGGGCGCTCCATTGCCTCCAGCTTTCTTGTAGCTGCCAAAGGTCTCAGGTTCTTTGGGGTCCTGCGATGTGATGAGCTGCGCACCACCCTGTGCCGAAATCGACAAGCACTTAACGGTTCAAACACACGAGGGAACCATCAAAAGCCAACATTTTGAATTTTCTGTGGTTTGGGAAGTGCCAATGGTTGAAGTTTCTTTTCTTGGGGGGATTCATTTGGGACCATCGCGGCCCTAGCACCTGCAGGAAGGACTCCAGGGGCTTGTTGTAGAAACCTGCCAGCACCTGCATGGCTTTCTTCAACAGCACCTGGCCAAGTTGAGCCACAAGCCCAGGCAGTTGAAGGCTGTACCATTGTGGCCCTCAAAGGTCAAATGCAAACTTCAACTATTCAATAGTGAGGCGGAGAACTTGCAGAGGCATCAGCTTCAGAAAATGACGGTGAGGGCCAGTAAGAATAAACTGGGTATTATATATATATATAGCAACGTAACTATGTAGTTTAACTAAGTACGTATGTCCGCTTCTTTTTTATGCCTACCTACACCACGAAGGACCTCCTTCTCTTAATATCAAGAACTCGCCAGTAATTTGACATCAACAGGCCTATTGAGCACTTTCCTGGGCAAGCACTCCCCTGACAAGCGGCTTGCGTCTGTCTCTGCTCCTGCACCACTTTCTGAAACTCTGAGTTCTCCTTCTCCCGGTTCTGCGCTGCCAGCTTCCTGGGCTCAGCGGCTCAGCAGTCGCAGTTCTTGGGAAATTCTACGGGGGTTGCCATGGATGCCGGTGGCATCCTATGTCTTTCTTCATGGGAAGAGTCCTGACTGACTGACTGACTTATTTATTTATGTACTTATTCGGTTTCTCGGCTGCTCCCATCCTTTCGTCAAAGGATCGCTGTTTCGGGGCAGTTCTTGCTGAATATAGATCACATTTGCCCACCATTCTGCCAACCAATTCCCAATAATCTGGCAATGGAAAATATCCGATGAATTTCCCATTGAAACCTCCATATTTCTTGGGGATTTCCCACATTGTCATGGCACTGATCTTCCACTGAGTCGCTGCTGCTTCTTCAGCTCCAAGACTTCACCATCGAGTTCCTGGCCATGAGATCCATGGAAGCCCCTGAAATCGTTTGAGTCTTGGAAGATGGTCCAAGTGCACTAAGTGACCCCCAGTGGCTCTAATCGGCATGCAGTTTCAGAGTTTCACGAAACTGCCACAGTTTCGCCCCTGAAGGGACAAGATGGACAAGGACAGCTTACCATCTGAGCAAACCCTTCTGGAAGGGGACAATTGTTGGTTTGAGATTATGATTCCCGTGCAATCACTGGGAACAACGACAGGCCTCAGTATCAGTTGAGCAATGTCAAAAAATGACGGTACAATTCCCCAAGTAATGCTGGAATTGTACCCCTATTCTTAAGCCCTAGAAAACATGCATTAAACCATTTGAATGATTCATTGAATGATGCAACAATCCCTTCGGTAACTAATTTTGTGGGATTTGAAGCTGCTCAGTTGACCCAGGTCTCAGCTCGCTTCACCCAGGAGCCTTGGTGTCGACCTCCACGGCCTTCAACTTCTCCTTGAGGTCCTCTGGAGAGGGGGGGCAACGTTTCAGCCACGGTCTTCCTCTTGCAGTTATGAGAAAAAAAACATGATAAAACATGATTTAAAAGAAAAAAACATATAAAAACCACATCCATATCGCAAAATAAGGGACATGTTTCTGGATTTATTTGGCGTCTGTACTGGCATCCAGACGTTGTGCTCTGTAGAAACTTCGCGTTTTTGACATGCAACATGCGCCGATGTTGGCAAGTTGTGTGAAGGATTCCCGGATGTCACATGCTGGATTCAAAAGAGCGCAACACCAAATGCTCATCAGATCACTTGATGGCAAAGGGCGGCGAGGCCTGCGCATTGCATCTATTTGCTGAACATGATTTCACATTCTATAGCATCGATAAACATCCACTGAGAGCTATGTATTATGTTATATATATAATGGATAGGAGGTCCCTAACTGTAGAACTAATGACCCATTTCCAGAGTTGCAGCCATGAAGGGTCATCCAACCTGTGGATTCTGATTCTATCTGGGTTTTAGGGGCGAAATTCCACTTGCCCCTCCTGCACCGTTGCATCCAACCCTTCTCCCTGGCGCTTCTTGCCATCTGCTGAAATCCTCAGCTTCAAGAAATCAACAAAACCTTGGAGACCTATTTGTGCCTGTAGCATTGCCATTACCCGGAATGGCAATGCAGAGGTCCCACTTGGACCCAGCCCTGGAACAGGACCATGATGTTGCTACAGAAGAAATGGAAAGACCAGCCGTCCCATCTGCTTGTGACCCAGTGGTTGCAAAAAAATGTGTTTTTTTGCATCGTCGCCACTTGTTCTTGTTCAGCTCTTCGATGCAGTAGTCCTGCATGCAAAACTGCACATTCAACCCTGTAAGCGTCACAAGCAAACAGGGAAAAAAAAAAGTGTTTTTGTTGGCGTCATTTCATGTTTCGTATACCCTTGGAAGTCACCGTGCTCTATGGTGTGTCTCTGTATTATGCAACTGGTAATGGTCCCCGACTAAGTGTGGTACCTGTTACAAAAGAACCCAAGAAAAGTCCAAGGTTGAACCCAACCAATTTGTATCAACCCGGGCGTACCAATAGTTCAAATAACACCCAGTGCACCTGCTCAGCCCCAAGAGAGACCAAAATCAAACTGATAATAGGATTTAACCGGAGCATAGTTTCCAACTAACAAAGAAGAAACAAATTGTCAGTATTTCCCCCAGTTGGTGATAAGTGGCCTTCTTCTTCACCTCATCAGCCTGTTCCTTCTTCAGGGCCGCCACCATGGCGTCGATCTTTTCCTGCACCTGAAGAACCCAAGGGGAGCCTCCAACAGAAAAAGCCTCCTGTCCAAAATCAATCCTGGGATGGGTGAAAAAAGCCTCCGAATCCTCAGATCTTATGAGGTCTTTGGATATGCAGCTGGATGTATCTGGTTGTTATTTCTTGGGGTGGTTCCATTCGATGAAGTGCAACAGGACCGGGCGCGGAGGCCAAAGCCTTGATAAAGATGGAGGGAATCAAACATTCCAAGATTATTTACCCTCTGGTAAACTAACATAACTATGGAAAATCACCATTTTCAATGGGTAAATCCACTATAAATGGCCATTTTCAATAGCTATGTTAGTTTACCAGAGGGTATTTCTTGGGCTGGTTCCATTCCTGTTTAAGTGCAATAGCATGCAATAGCTGTCGCTTTTTCGGTGGCATGTCAGCCCAAAACTGTTCAACCATCCACCAGGGTTTATTGGTCACTGTGAGCAGGGAGGAATGTTTAATCACCATATATCCCACCATTGGACCATGGCTGGGGGGTTGGGACATGTTGGGACACGACTATGAAACAATGGCGGCCTTGTCCCTTGCTTACTTAAAATGTTGTTTACAAATATATCGTAGGCTCTTCCAAGCACCAATAATCTACTTAAACGCCAACTGAGCTACGTTGACAGTCTTAATAACCATGAGGGTCACACCTCTGCAAATGTTTCACCACGACCGAACTCGCCACAACGCGTCTTTTCTCCCCGTCCCAACCACTGCGACAGCCCCGACAGCCCGCGCAAGGGCGAGGACCATCGGCTCTTCACCTCCAGCTGTAGCTCCAGCTCTGCCAGTAGGGTATCGCACCTGCCACCTGGGCCATGGGGAATTGGTGTGTTAAATCATGAAATCAGTATATAATGGATTTCGTAAAAACATCATCAAATTAGCAGGGTTTGATGGTGATTTATGTGTTTATCTGTTTGAGGACCCCTAGCAACATCGCTTGAAAGAATGCAGGCTTTCTGGTGGGTCAAGGATCCTGGGAGTGGTTGGTTCTAAACATCAAAATACATCCAAAAATCTGACCCATCATGACCACAATTTCTGCACGCTACCCATGGCTGCATCCATCCCAACTGATCCAACTGCACCTCTGTTGATCTCGGGGTGCGCGGTGGGGAATCCGCAGCTGCGAATCCGCACTGTTTGGTCCTCCGACAACTCCAAGTTCGCCACCCGGCCGTCGGGCCAATAGAGCGTGCGCCCATCTCGGCAAGGGTACTTGGCATATTTGATGGGATCCTGCAACAGCTGCCCCATGAAAAAAGACTTGGGATGACTCGGATGACCTGTTGCTGATGTCCAACTCTCACAGTTGCGATTCTGTCTCCCGGTTTCATGCGCGAAAAAAGCAAGCTTCCAAACCAATAACTTCGCCAACAACACGCCAGAAACACCCCAAAACATCCCCCAGGCCATCCAAAAACCTACAGGCCTCCCGGTGCAGTCGACAGAGTTTCACCAGGTTGCAACTCTCCACGGCTTGTCTCACACGCTGCGAGCCCTCCAAGGAGATCAGGCGCTGCTGCAGCGCCAGCTGTGAGGCCTCCAGGTAGCTGCCGAAGAAGAAGACCCGCGGATGGCCTGTGTTGGATGGCACCTGGTCAGGCCCGCTAAGGCTTTGGAGGCCATGTGGATGTCGGCTGCTGATGGCTGCTGTACGTGGAGGATAGGACTAAACAACAACAGGGCACGGAGATGAAACTGCACAGAAATGATATAGATTAATTGATCAAGGTAAATGCATTCGTGATCTCGGCCCAGTGGTACTTCTACATTCTGTATTGCCATTCTACATCAACCGATGACATGTCCACACTGCCCCACCTTCTGGGCGACTTGGTGAATGAAGGCCGCAGCAAAGGGCGGCCCAAATCGGGCCATGCTCAGCGCGGCTTGCACATCACCTTGTCCATCGTCCCCAATGAAAATGGCCTACAGGCCGGGCCACTCGCACGAGTAATTGGCAGAACCCGCTGCGGAGTCAAGACTTCGGGAAGCAAACAACATCAGATTCTTCCAGCACGCAAAACCCAACAGAGAGTCAACTATTTGGACATGTTCGGACCACAAATGACCGCAACTGTCAAATTCATGTCACTTGCCCATATAAACTACAACCTTTGTTGTTTGCATGTCCTTCAACCATTCAGCTTTGTTGCTTTTGTCCCGTTTCTGCAGGTCAAAGAAACAACATCAGCATCACAAGGCCCACCTTGGCTTGACCCAAGTCGTTCCCAAGGACTTCTGCCCAGTTCTTCAGCTTGGTCTTGCCAAATTTTCGGAAGTCCCCGCGCAGCGCGGGAAGCAGATCTCGGAGCCGGCCGTACTGCGAGCCTCACATGGTGAGGATTTTCATCGGAATGTGTGGGCACTGGGGCCCCCAAAGTGCGTCATGCTATTCAGACAGAGGAGGGAGCTAGCAAGAAAAAGCTGGACTGCCTTCCACCAACTTCCCCTTTCCGGCCTTCAAAGTCAATGCCCCAAGCACCAAGACCATTTTCTTCGGCCACCCTTCGAAATTCCCTGGCCACCCTACTGGTGGGCGTCATCTTCAAAAATCCCAACTTCTTAGGCCTTGCCGAGAGCAGCCTCACCTTGGGCGGCTCGGGACTCAGCTGCGACCCTCGCGCCACTTCCAACATGAACTGCACCGTGCCAGGGTAGACCTCCTTGCGGTACCCAGCCTCGTCCACCCCACCACCACGGGGACCACCGGAACACTTGATGGTATCATCCACGTCGGAGAGGATCCTCGGGGGGATGTTGGGCCTGCGATTGTCTTCTATCCTTTGATGCAGTAGATACAACCCAATCAATGGTGGTGTTGTAAATGTAGCCCAACCACTGGAGGCACAGCCTCTCACCATCTCGAATCTCCAATGATATTTGTCATGAAGAAAGCCTTCATGAGCTAGTACGACGGTCTCTGGGTGTTGTTTATGTAGAAAGAACATGTGCTTTTGTAGTAGTTTGTGATGGCGGGTGTGATGCTGCTGATGATGATGATGCTGATGATGATGCTGATGATGCTGCTGCTGATGGTGATGATGACGATGAAGACACTGATGATGACAGTGGGTGATAAACTAATCACTCCTCCGTGCTCACTACCCTCCCATCTTTTTTACACTATCCACGTTCCTTTCACAAACCCATGCGCTTCTTCTCTAGTGAATTCTTTATCGTTGTTGCTTCTAGTCCTATACTGGTGTGTGTTTTTTTATGTATATATATATATACATGCATACATACATACATTGCATTACATTACATTACATAACAATACATAACATTACATAACATTACATTACATTACATACATACATACATTACATACATTACATACATTACAAACATTACATACATTACATACATTACATACATTACATACATTACATACATTACATACATTACATACATTACATTACATACATTACATACATTACATACATTACATACATTACATACATTACATACATTACATACATTACATACATTACATACATTACATACATTACATACATTACATACATTACATACATTACATACATTACATACATTACATACAGTACATACATTACATACATTACATACATTACATACATTACATACATTACATACAGTACATACATTACATACATTACATACATTACATACATTACATACATTACATACATTACATCCATTACATACATTACATACATTACATACATTACATACATTACATACATTACATACATTACATACATTACATACATTACATACATTACATACATTACATACATTACATACATTACATACATTACATACATTACATACATTACATTACATTACATTACATTACACTACATTACACTACATTACATTACATTACATTCATACATTACATACATTACATACATTACATACATTACATACATTACATACATTACATACATTACATACATTACATACATTACATACATTACATACATTACATACATTACATACATTACATACATTACATACATTACATACATTACATAAATTACATACATTACATACATTACATACATTACATACACTACATACATTACATACATTGCATACATTACATACATTGCAGACATTGCATACATAACATACATAACATACATAACATACATAACATACATAACATACATAACATACATAACATACATAACATACAAAACATACCTAACATACCTAACATACCTAACATACATAACATACATAACATACATAAGATACATAACATACCTAACATACCTAACATACATAACATACATAACATACATAACATACATAACATACATAACATGCATAACATGCATAACATGCATAACATGCATAACATGCATAACATGCATAACATGCATAACATGCATAACATGCATAACATGCATAACATGCATAACATGCATAACATGCATAACATGCATAACATGCATAACATGCATAACATGCATAACATGCATAACATACATAACATACATAACATACATAACATACATAACATACATAACATACATAACATACATAACATACATAACATACATAACATACATAACATACATAACATACATAACATACATAACATACATAACATACATAAAATACATAACATACATAACATACATAACATACATAACATACATAACATACATAACATACATTACATACATTACATACATTACATACATTACATACATTACATACATTACATACATTACATACATTACATACATTACATACATTACATACATTACATAGACATTACATAACATTACATACATTCATAACATTACATACATTACATACATTACATACATTACATGCATTACATGCATTACATGCATACCATACATAACATACATAACATACATAACTTAGCTACAGCCTATAGGCCTCTGTTAGTCTGGCCCCTCAAAACGAAGGCAGCAGGCACTGGCAATGAGTCGACGGCAGGACAACCAAATGACGACAGCAATGTACCGGCACGCCAACGGCAAGGCAATTAAAGGGCGACGGCATGGCAACGGCATGGCCACAGCATGGCGACGACATTGCGACGACATGGCGATGACATGGCGACGACATGGCGACGACATTGCGACGACATGGCGATGACGTAATGACAACATGGCGGCGGTGCGGCGACGACGACGACGCCAATGGCGGCGAAGCAACGGCGAAGCAACGGCGATAACAACAACAAGGGGCAACCTGCCTGCCCCATCATGCTCAATCACTGTTAGCCCTCCATCTTGGCAGAGTGTGATGCTATCTTTGGGTGTGTGTGCGTGTGTGTTTGTTAACGTGTTTTCTCTGCATGATGACTAGTATATATAATATACTATATATATATATATACGTTGTTTGCTTTTGTGGGTCCTGGAGTATTGATTATTTTGTATTGGGCTTTTGGCTTGCATGCTTTGCACTTTACAACTGGGTTTTGTACACTTTGCATATGTTGTTGCATCCCTGACATTCAGACAACGATTCTTTTTACTAAAGCATGTCAGCAGACAATGCCTATACAAGTCAGATACTCTCAAGTCAGACAGGCTTCAGTGCACAGAACAGCCTTTAACGCCAAAGGTTGGCGAAATTGAATGCAAAGAAAGGTGTGCACAAACTTCTGCACGTTCACCGCCAAACTGCCCTTGGGTTTGCTTGAGCTATGCGCCAGCTGAATTTCAAGTAAGTTATACGCTATATAGGTTTTTGTGACACGTTAGATCCCTTCTAAACGCATTTAGTTTGGAACAAGTTCTTACCCATTGACACCTTGTCTTTATCGAATTTGTGAGGACATAGTACCTAGGCTTGCATACTGACAATGAGCAGCTACAGCAACCTGAATCTGTTCTGTCCCGCTCCAATCCTACATGACATTTTTTTTCGATCACCATTTTTTACATAAAATGCATGGACTTGACAACATGTTCCACATGTATATCATTGTATATCAATTCCAGTTTTTGCACGTGTCAATCACAGGTCCTGTATCTCCTTTATCTTCACCTCCCCTTTGCAAACACGCACGTTGTGAAATACCATGGGCCCAGCATGCATGGCACCCTGGCGATTTTTGAAACCTGCGCAGCAATCTAGATGCTATCAATGTCATAATCAGCGATGTTCAAAACCCGCTGTTGGTGATTGATTTTGCTCGCCTTTCGGAGCTCTGATCAACAAACCAGTATATTGCAATCAGATGGATCTTGAACACTGCTGATATGAATCGTCTACGTGAACTGATGTTTGGCACACTGAGTGGTGAACAATGGTTAGATTCTTAACAGGATGTCTGGCACAGTGTTTTCGATACAGCTTCGGTGCATTAGCACCCTGTTAACTCATTTGGGCCAAGAGCCGGGTGTAAGGAATCATCGCCAGCCCGTGAATCACTGGCAAGTACTTGCAATAAAGAGAGATCAGCTTAGTCACCTTCTTCATGTGCCCCAAAACAATTTCGCTTTCTGCGCCTTTTGCGAAACAGGTGACGGGTTGGGAGCACCAATCAACAAAGTGATAGGTTTATATACATGTTATTTTGCCTAAGAAAAGTACCACGGCCAAGGTCACCAAACGGGCGCGCTATTGAATATGGTTGGGATTTTGCTTCAAAATGAGTATTGCGCTGTTCTACTCAGATATTCTTCCCCAAGCCCAGCTCTAATTATGAAAATCTACTCCGGTAATAAACGTATTTTTTGTATAGGCACCGCATGCTGACCCATGACAAGGTGATATTTCATAGGTGAAGCTTGGGCAGAGGTGCTACGTCAAGAACTCTCAAGCCAGACATGCTCAAATACACGGTCGAGTCTTTCACACCAAAGGTTGATGAACTTGAATGCCATAACTTGCAAGGACCCCATCGTTTTTGCGTTCTCCTTGTGTTCAATTTGTTTGAATTTTGCGCCGGCTAAAAAATCAATGATATCAATGTCAAGCACTAGAACTTTGCACGCTAGATGCATGGTCGCATGTTGAACCTGGAAAGGTTTCTAGGAAGTCATGTAAATATACAACATGTAGTCCCAGTTTCATCTTGAAAATTTGGGCATATAGCATCTACATCGTCAACAGCGCAGGTTATGTAATGTAGTACTGCATTCAAAAGGAATCTGGTTCACCCATTGTTTTCTGAAAAAAAGGGCTCACATGCTGATAATGCGTCATACCCTGTGCAAGCACATGTCCAACGTGTTTCTTCATCTAAAACCAGTTCATACACACAGATCTCGCGAAATACAATGGACGTAATGCGCAGGAATTGCCAAAATCAAGCGAGCAAGTGGTTGAAATATTTGATACAACCGGCGATAATTGTGAAGGAAAAAAGCAATCAACTTTGCTTTCTTTGAATAAGTGTAGCGTAGATTCTCCTCCTCTAGATGCAAATTGGAACCGAAAATCCAAACGCACAGCGGGACTGGGGAAGAACCCCGCGGAGCGGCTTCCTACAAAGGGGAGACGTATAGGAAGGGGTTTCAAAAGCCACATAAACAGGAAACATGTTTTTCCGCACCCCTAGCTCCAGACAAGAGGGGTTCATCTCCGGACAGGGCGGGGGATCAAAAAGAGAATAAACCATTTGTTCCCTGCATTGTCCAGCGAATTCATCCCCCCTGCCTGGAGACGGAATATATTGATGCACAGAAACATCAAAGAACCCCGAATTGAGATTCACTACGTTTGTCCAAGTTGTGACTTTAGCAACATGAGAGCTCTTGCGCTGTCAAAAACAAACTGCTGTTGTTTCAAGCCCATTGATCGAACACAATTCAAGTTGAATGCTGCCAGCACCGGAAACAAACACCCATTTGACGTCACTTCTCTTTTCCTTTTTTGAGCACATACACAGTGCCGATTTGCATCTTCCCGAGGTCACACGCGCTTGGTTTTTGAAACGAATCAAGGCCCATTCGATGACTGCATTGGAAGGCCATAGCGGTCATTTCAAATCACACCAATCATATCAGGCAGCTGCATGACGACGACCTTGCAACAACACGGCAAGCAGTGCGGTGTCATCATCAAAAAAACATGTTTTTATTTGCCTGTGCGTCGGCACGATTTTGGGTCTTTGGTGGAAGGTGACACTCTGTGAGCAGGGGTTGCGTTTTGCTTGCAAATGCGATGATCCATGGATTTCGTGTCGCCGTGTTACTTTATTGGTTTCTGCGACATGATGATAGGACCAGGAAGAGATTTCAAATTAAAGGATATTTCCATCGTCATGTCATTGTCCCTTCATTGTCAAAATTGTAAAAAATGTCGTCGTCGTGTGGTCGTCACATTGCCCCCACATTGCCACCACATCGCCGCCACATCGCCGCCGGGGCCCCTCGCCGCCCCCGCATTTCCCGCCACATTCCGCTCGACAGACATGTCGCCGCCACATCGCCGCCACATCGCCCCGCGGCGAGGTGGCGGCAATGTGGCGGCAACGTGGCGGCAATGTGGCGGCAATGCGGCGGCGATGTGGCGGCAATGTGGCGGCAATGCGGCGGCGATGTGGCGGCGATGTGGCGGCGATGTGGCGGCAATGTGGCGGCAATGTGGCGGCAATGCGGCGGCGATGTGGCGGCGATGTGGCGGCGAGGTGGCGGCGATGTGGCGGCGATGTGGCGGCGATGTGGCGGCGATGTGTCGGCGATGTAATGGTGATGTGGTGGCAATGTGGCGGCGATGTGATGGCGATGTGGTGGCAATGTGGCGACAATGCGGTGACGCTGTGTTGACAAAGTCGCGACAACTTAGTTAGGAAGACGATGATTGCGTGCCCTCACATAGACAAAGCAGAAGAGTTGCGGTCTTGAAAACTTTACCCCGCAGAAAAATATTTACATTGCAAATTTGGAAAGCCGGTCCTTCTTACCCCGAACCAGAAAGCCCAGCAAATTCACCGTCATGTCCATTCCCAAACTTTGGGGCGCCTGCGTGTTTTCAGATGACACTTGCATATTGTTCAGCGTTGCCTCTTCTAGTCCTGGCGTGGCCCAAACATTAGACAGTGTGACTCTATCTGTTCGCGTGTGTTTTGCAACGTTTCTTGCTGTGATGCTATGACTGTTTGATTGTTTTGGGTATCTTCGATGATTATTTTGTGTTCAGCTTTTGGCTTGCATGCTTTGCACTTTACCACTGGTTTTTGCACACTTTGCATATGGTGTTGCATCATTGAAATGCAGGCGACGTTTCTTTTTACTAAAGCATGCCAACGTACAGTGCCTGCAAGTCAGATACTCTCAAGTCAGACATGCTTGAGTACACGGAGCAGCCTTTAACGCCAAAGGTTGGTGAAATTGAATTCAAAGGTGTACAAAAACTTCTTTGTGCTTACTGTTAAACTGCCTTTGGGTCTGCTGGAAATATGCGCCAGCTGAATGATGACTGTGACACGTTGGATCCCTTCTAAACGCATTTAGTTTGGAACAGATTCTTGCCCATTGACACCTTGTCTTCATCGAATTTGTGAAGACATAGTACGTAGGCTTGCGTATTGACAACGAGCAGCTACAGCAACCTGAATCTGTCTGTCCCGCTCTAATCCTACATGATATTTGTTTTTTTCGATCACCATTTTTTACATAAAATGCATGGACTTGACAACATGATCCACATGTATATCAATTCCAGTTTTTGCACGTGTCAATCACAGGTCCTGTATCTCCTTTATCTTCACCTCCCCTTTGCAAACACGCACGTTGTGAAATACCATGAGTCCAGCGTGCATCCTAGCCATGTTTGAAACGTGCGCATCAATCTAGATGCTGCAATCAATTTCAAATCAGCGATGTTCAAAACCCTCTGTTGTTTGAAGATTGCGGGCGGCTTTACCAGCCAGTGTATTGGGGACTATCAGGGCGCCCCTATCAACCAACCAGCATACTGCAACCAGATGGGCCTTGAACAACGCTGATGTGAATCGTCTACATGAATCGATGTTTGGCACATTTTGGCACCCTGTATGGTAAACAACAGCTAATTTTTTAAACAGGATGTCTGCAATGAGAAAGGAAGACACGCAAGATAGGTTTCCATTATAGTTCCGGGCTGTTAACCTTTTCGGGCCAACTGCAAGGAATCATTGCCAGCCTGTGAATCACTGGCAAATAAGCTCAGTCACCATCTTCATGTGCCCTTATAAAGCAAGTTTCTTGTCAGCAAAATGTGCAAAACGGGTGACCGGTTGGGAACACCAATCAACAAAGTGGTAGGTTTAATTAGGTTTCTATACATGTTATTTTTCCTAAGAGAAAGTACCAAGACTAAGGTCACCAAACGGGCGCGCTATTGAATATGGTTGGGATTTTGCTTCAAAATGAGTATTGCGCTGTTCTACTCAGATATTCTTCCCCAAGCCCAGCTCTAATTATGAAAATCTACTCCGGTAATAAACGTATTTTTTGTATAGGCACCGCATGCTGACCCATGACAAGGTGATATTTCATAGGTGAAGCTTGGGCAGAGGTGCTACGTCAAGAACTGTTAAGCCAGACATGCTCGAATACACAGTCAAGCCTTTCACACCAAAGGTTGATGAACTTGAATGCCATAACTTGCAAGGACCCCATCGTTTTTGCGTTCTCCTTGTGTTCAATTTGTTTGAATTTTGCGCCGGCTAAAAAATCAATGATCTCAATGTCAAGTACTACAACTTGGCGCACTAGATGCATGGTCGCAGGTTGAATCTGGAAGGGTTTCTAGGAAGTCTTGTTTAAAAGCAATAAAAAATGTAGTCACAATGTTCACCCAAAACTACGAGGAATGCTTTTTAGCACATGGCACCTACTTTGTCGACAGCGCGTGGGTTATGTAATGTTGTACCACATTCAGAAAAGGAATCTAGCTCACTCACTCTGTGCGGAATAAAATTCATGGACTCACATACTGATAATGCGTCATATTCAATGCTTGCACATGTCCCACGTGTTCTCTCTAACCCCAATACACACACACAGACACGGTGAAATTCCATATGGACGCAATGTGCAGGAATTACCAAATCAATATTCAGCGTATTCGAAAAATTTGATACAATCGGCGATCATATTGAAGGAAGGAAAGCCAATCAACTTTTCTTCCTAAACACTTGAATCGAAACAAGTTCCAAAGAGTTGAATATAAGTGTAGCCTAGATTCTCCCCTTCTAGATACCAATTGGAACCGAAAATCCAGACGTACAGTGGGACTGGGGAGGAACCCCACGGAGCGGCTTCCTACAGAGGCGAGACATATAGGAAGGGGTTTCAGAAACCACATAAAAGGGAAACACTTTTTCCGCACCCCTAGCTCCAGACAAAAGGAGTTCATCTCCGGACAGGGCGGGGGATCAAAAAGAGAATAAACCATTTGTTCCCTGCATTGTCCGGCGAATTCATCCCTCCTGCCTGGGAATATACTTATGCACAGAAACATCAAAGAACCCCGAATTGAGATTCACTAAATTTGTCCAAGTTGTGACTTTAGCAACATGAGAGCTCATGGGCTGTCAAAAAAAAACTGCTGTTGTCTCAAACCCATTGATCGAACACAATTCAAGTTGAATGCTGCCAGCACACGAAACACACCCATTTAGCCTTGCCCGATTCAGAAAGCATGGCGCCCATCTGGGAAAGAACATACGAAAAACTGATTTGGTTGTGACAAACGCGCTTCGGCATCATCAAACCATAGCCATATGTATATCTATGTCTACACCATACCCTATATAACTCTGTCTCGTGCATGATCGTCGCCGTCGTCCTCGTCATCGCCGTCATCGTCGTTCTCACCGTCGTCGTTGTCGTCCTGGCCACGTCGCCATGTCGTCGCCATGTCGTCGCCATGTCGTCGCCATGTCGTCGCCATGTCGTCGCCATGTCGTCGCCATGTCGCCCATGTCGTCGCAATGCCGTCGCCAAGCCGTCGCCATGTGGTCGCCGTGTCGTCGCCATGTCATCGCAATGCCGTCGCGATGCTGTCACCATGCCATGGGCATGTCGTCGTCATGTCGTCGTCATGCCGTCGCCATTTGCACCAACTAAGCTTGCCACAGACCCCCTGGTACATACTAGAAACCTCTGCCCACAGGCTTCTAGAATCTAGATAATGTATATATATAACTATATATATATATATAATTATATATATATAGAGAGAGAGAGAGAGCCATATATAGCCGTTATCTATCATCCCGTCACATTTTGAAGGCACCCTTTCCGGACGCCACGAGTTTCTTCACCTTGGAGAGGAGTTTCTTCACCTCGTCCGTGCGATCCTGGCAACATCAAACCACTGAGTGGGAACCACTAGGTGAAAACAAACATTACTGGTTGGTGGTTTTAACAATCTTGAAAAATACGAGTGCGTCAATGGGAAGGATTATCCCATATATTATGGAACATAAAATTCATGAAACCACCAACCAGATTAATGCTCATAGGGGTTGAACACAAACATGTTGGAAACAACATGAAACAACATGAAACATGGGTTTCAATCAGTTTCAGCTTCGTTTTCCAGGTACATTCCCCCCGGTCCTTCGAGGTTTGCAACAAGGACGAAGTCGACGAAGCACGGCCACGAAAAAGCTCCAGAGACTTGTCGGAATCCAGGAGGTTGATGGCATCCTGCGACCAAAAAACATGGCAAAATTCATGAGAAGATTGTGAGAAATGGACATATTTTGGCAAAATTTTGGCAAAATTTTATGGGAATATCATGGGAATATCCCAAAATTCATGTCCTGGGCATTTTCCGACAAAACAATATTAAAAAAAACTGCTATTGGGATGAGCAAACGTTGAAACAATGGTGAAAACATGTGAAAACAAACACAAGTGATGACAGGTGTTTGTTGTGTCCCAGGCCTTAGACAAGAGGATATTAGATTTAAGATCAACTCATGATGAGGATCCCTCAATTCAAATGATTCCCTGCAGGATTTTTTGGGGCCCAAGTCTGCCAAATCTATCTACATGTCCACCCCACCTACGATCCCATATGTGCCAGTGGCAATAAAGGGGCTCATGTCAATTTGTTGTTGTCATTCAACAGTCCATGCGTCCGGCATTGAAGTATTGGTTGTACTAGATCATTTTTTAAAGATCATTTGTATGACTAAGAACTGATTAGGGTATTTATCAGCCTCTCTTTATATTATATCCGATATCGTCCTCATTGCTGGCAAAACAACCCATGATTTGAGATTCTTATTTAGCTCATATACATACATATATGTCCTCCGTATGCTGAAGAAATAAATATGCACACACACACACACCCAAATAATCAAACATACACATGTTCACAATTGTTTTATAAACAGAAAATAAGATATAGTAAAACACTGTGAAGCAATCATCACTCCTATAATTGTCTGATATTCAATACGACCCTCTGGTAATTTCACATTTATTCTTGGAAATTGCCATTAAGTTCGTTGATTTACCTAATTTACCTATTAAAAATTGGTGGATTTTCCAGTTTGCAAACTCTTCATTTACTCAAAAATGGGTGGATTTACCTAAAATTACCTATAAACAAATGGTGGGTTTTCCATGGCGATGTTAATAGCATTCATAAATCTGCTGGTGATATACCTACGAATTGTCCCATGGCAAACGGTTCATTTACCTAAAAATTGGTGGATTTACCTAAATTTACCCTAAAAAATGGTAGATTTTCATGGATTTTCCATGGCAAACTCTTCATTTACCGCTAATTCATCCCCACCACCAGCACCACCAGCCCCGTGTCGCTACGTCGCTACGGCCGCGTCCTGCAGCGCTAGCAGCTCCTTCCGGCGCTGCTCCGTGCGCTGCGCGTGCAGGCCGCTCTTGGCGTCCCAGCTGCTCTTCAGCTCCGCCAGCATGGCACGGTCCTGGCGGAGCGCAACGGATGCTGCTGGGGTGGGGAAAATCTGGGGGAAAATGTGGGAGGAAAATGTCATTTGATACTTGCTTGAGATGTGTATGTATTTTGATGTATTTTGATAGGTTTGACTTGTTTTATGTTTTTCTTGTTCGAAGAAATTGAGCTGTGGATGATCTCTGATGTAGATCGGACGTTTTGGACATGGTTGATTTCTTGATCTGCGGTCTCTTGATATGTTTTGACAGATCTGAGTTCTGGATAGTTCTGGATATGGATGAATGATGTATTTTATGTTTGAGTTGAAACTGGTGAATAATTGGCGAACTATCACATACACCTGTTGTATGTGTCTATTTTGGTGAAACATGTCAGAATAACGTCTCTCAAAGTGGCGGTGAAATATCATTTTCAGATCGGTTGCGCCTGAAGGCATCCCCATTCTTGCTGATGAATGAATTGACATTTATCTCCCCAAATCAGGTGGATAAGGTTGGTATATTCCGATCATATATTCAAGGATGCTGCTTGCTCTAGATTGGAGAAGCGCAAACAAATGAATTTAATTGTCTCATCCACATGTCTTGACAAATCGATGCGTTTCGGTTTTGTGTCAGAAAGTGCCGATGCTTCTTCGAAACAGCATCAACATCAAACAAGCTCCTTCAAAGCCAATTTCTTTGCAAACAAATCTAACTTTTCATGAACAAAATATATCAACAAATATGTTTATACAGTACAGTAGGTAATTATAAATGATATTGCTATATGGCAACATGTTTCTCTATGAAGAAACATCTTGTTCTCTTAATCATAAACAGTAGAAACAACCTTCCCCCGCAGCAAATGTCGCTGCGAAGTCCTCGACCAAGGATTGATCCTGACCAGCCAAGGAGCGCTCCATGTCCATGATCTCCACCTTCAACTCGCCCATGCGCTTCATTTTCCTAACGCCAGGTGTTTCCTAATTTAGGGAATGGTAGGGATCAATCTGATATCTGGGATCAATATCTGAAGTAGACTGGTTGGTGGTATACCTACCCCTCTGAAAAATATGAGTTCGTCAGTTGGGATGATGAAATTCCCAACTGAATGGAACATAAAATTCATGTTCCAAACCACCAACCAGTAGATATCGATAGTACGAAACCGTGCCAAGTGAGCTCTTTATCCCCTGATTTGAGGATTGTTGAGCCTTGAAATGGTCTCTTACTGACCCCCAAAGTAGTCACTTTTAGCTGCCAGGTAGGCTCTATTTACTACCCGTTTAAGTGAAATAAATCCTATAACCTTACTGCTTCCTTCAAGGTACCTCCTGCCTAGATGGCTAAGTTGGTTTATAACTAGGTCAACTATGGTTCATGGTCATGGCATGTACACACACATAAATATATATCTAATGATTTTTAATTATTGAGATGCAAGTATCCTTTTTTTTTTATATATATATATAAAGGATACTTGCATCTCAATAATTCAAGATCAATAGATAGTGGGGCGAATAAACCAACAAACATCACTGCGGGGCATTGCCGCAAATTGTCATCTAAAATCTGGATGGCCTCTCCAGTTGCTCCAGAAGAGTGGAAATCTCTGTCTTCTTGGACGCCTACAGCAGCTCTCGTCAGGCTTGGCAGGCACCATATCATGCACCAAATGGGGGAACGTTGGGTACGCTCCAGTAATTTAACATAACTCGCTTGAAAATAATCAACTGTAGATGATTGACCTGTAAAAAATTGTGATTTTCCATAGTTATGTTGGATTATGTTAGCTTACTGGAGAGTACCGAAAGAATTCTACAGTCAATACATAGTACATGCGCCAAATCGTCCCCGGGGCCTTCAATTTTGACCCATATGCTGCTGGCACCTGTGGCACTCACATTCTTCACATCTCAGATTTACCATCTGGTTATGACTAACATAGCCATGGTATAGATGGCCCATAGAAATAGATGGTTTACCTATGAAAAATGGTGATTTTCCATGGCTATCGCACAAATAACCAGATGACAAGTGAGAAAAACATGTTCATCTCAGATTTGTGGTTTGGAAACTCCAATTTGTAGCTCCAACTGGATTCACCACCCGATTACCAACCCTTCAATTGGTTATTTTCGGAATCTATCTTGATTTACTGGAGCGTAACAGTGCCCTGTCAAATCGGTGAAAACCCATCATTTTCCGACATACCATGGATGAAACCATGGTTTTTACCATTAAATCCATCAATCGCCATCGGTTTTCACCATGAAATCCATGACAATTCCATATTGTTTGACCGATTAAACCCAAGAAAAACATGGGAAAAACCAGGGTGTTTGCCATGATACCCTTCAAATCCATTTGTTTTCACCATGGAATCCATGGTTTCTTCACGTTACCATGGATCTCCACTGCCTCCAAGTCCCCGAAGTTCTCCACAGCGTTTTCTTCGGTCTTGGAGTCACTGGTGATCTTCCTAAGCCATGGGATGAAGGGGAAATTTATTGGGAAAATGGTGGTTTAACATAAACTGATGGTTGGATATGGTTTAATATGGTTTGATGGGATTTTAATATTGACCAGTTACACGAACAATACATGATTTTCTTCTGCACTCGGACATTTTTCCGTGCCAAGCATCTCTGTGGTGTCGTCTTTCATGGCCTTGGTTGCATAGAGGTGGGGCCGGCAATCGTGAGAAATGCGGATTTGCATGGATTTTGTTTTTTTTCGGCAAAGGTTAAACCGTTAAACCAACAAAAACGAATCTGACTTCTGCCCCAATCACCCAAAAAAAACATGTGCCAGAAAGATTTGCTCATGGTAATTTGCAAATTCCTGGGTGGTTGATCATGTCTTGACATGTTTTGACACATCTTGTAGCTATTTACCCTCTGGTAATTTAACATAACTATGGAAAATCACAATTTTTAATGGGTAACTCAACTATAAATGACCATTTTCAATAGCTATGTTAGTTTACCAGAGGGTATTTAATAGACAAAACATGATGGTTCAATGTAGGTCAAGCTCTGGGGATTCCACTGAACTAATCCGAACTTCACAAACATGGCCTTTCCAACAAAACCTGAAGATTTGTGAAACACCAAGCCCCGCAGAAAATCACAAAACCACAGGTGTCCCCTGTGGTATCCTGTGCTTAATGGCGACATCAAGCAGCAACTAAACCCGGCCTTGAGATCGGAACGTGATGTGAGGGCAACCATCCCTATCAACTGTTAATTAAATATGTTAAGGGTCATAACATGTCATAACCCGTTATCAAGCTGTGTAATGGCTACCATTCTCTAGCCTTGATACGCGCCCACAAAAATCCCAGCTGTGGATTGTCCGAGCCCGGCAGAATCAAAATGCCCTTTTTTCATCTGCGAGAAGCGTTCAGGATGCCCATGACGTAGTCGGGATCCTAGTGGAACTGAACAAAATCCCTGGACTCAAAATGCGAGTTTCAACCCAACGCAAACATATGTGCCACGATCAGAACATGGTGTATAGATGTATATACATATATATATATATATGTATGTATAGTTTATGGTCATCCATTCCCATATTGAGAATAATCCTTATAATGGATATTAAATTCCCTATTAATGAATTGATGACCATCACCCAATATGGGAAAGCCATGTTTAATTTTGACCATGTCACATATCATAATACAGTAATACATGTTCAAAACCTCCAGCCAGAACGTAGACCCATGGTGACATATCCCTACAATCCACTCATATGGACATGGAAATTCATAAACAAGTCAAGACAAATCATCTTTGGAGTGCAAGTTTCCACATCCATGTCTCTTGTGCAAAGGAAGTTGTACGTGTTCCATAGTGTCGACCGTCAACCTTGGTTTTACCCTCTGGTAAACTTACAAACAACTGATGGGAAAATCACAATTTTTAATGGGTAAATCCACTATTATATAATGGCCATTTTCAATAGCTTTTTGTATGTTTACCATTGGTTTTAATAACCCTCTGCTCTGATCATTTGGCTGGTGGCCGGCCCAGTCCCAGTCTCCGTCTTGGCAGTCTCTCCAGAGAGCAGCGACCTACAGAGTCAACCACTCCGACGTGGCACTTCCCCTGCTGGAATCAAGAAGCTAGGGCCTTAGGGCATTAACATGTACTGTATTACCAACGATTTTAGGAAAATCGAATCCATCAAAAATCCATCTTACCAGTGTATTACCCGTTATATCTCCATAAAATGCCCAAAAAAACGGGTTTCAAGTGGCAAAAATTGGAGATATGGGAAGTGATGCATGCAATGCACCCAAAAACATCGGTTTACCCATTGATTTTTCCCTTTGCTATTGCAATCTCTTGGGGTACACCCAATTTCTAGACAAAACCACCCCATATATATATAGACATAGATATAGATAGTCGGTTTGTGTTGGTTCTACATTCTACATCCCAGCTATACCGCGTCTGCGTTGCACTGCCTGCAGCACCAAGAAGGACCCAATACCAAGCACTGTCACGCCAGGAAGCTGGGGATGTAACTCTCCTGTTTTGAGCACCACTGGACTGGACTGACATTTCATTGTCGAAAGATTCTTTCGGCCTGAAACTCAACCAATAGCCAGTTCCAGAATTGAAATGGTTGTCTGCCAGCCACTGTGCTACAGGACGAAACCATGCTGTTCCGCCCCCCCATCGTCCAAGGCACACGTTCGAATGCAGCAAGTCTCACGATCTGCAAATGATCGGTGTGGTGGCGCTGCATTCGCTGGTTTGTCAAGCACGGTCTCGAGAGCTGTGAATGAAATATCAGTACGCGTGGTGCCCTCGCGCCTGCTATATAGCGCTGTAAATTGCATAATTGCTTTCTATACCATTTCTGGACAAACCATGGGAAAGCATTTGATCTTCCAATATTATAATAAACAAACATAAATTCATAAAATGATGTTCAAACCAATCTCGTTGGTTATTTGCTGGCTGGTGGTTTCAACCCCAAATCTGAAAGTCAGGATTCGGATCATTATCCCAAATAGATTAAATAGGGTTGGACAAGTGTGAACATATTAAAAACCCATCAGCCAGCATTAAATATATGCACACAGAGAGAGAGAGAGATATATATATATATGTAGATATACAGTATATATATATATATTACCCAAGTGGCTCACTATATCTCATTCAACAGCTGGTCCAGATCTACCCTCTCTCTGTCTCTCTCTCTCTCTCTCTCTCATCTCCAAGGCCTTTCCATATTATATAATTCGATCATTATCCCAAATGGCTATGGGTCGAAACCTTAAATACCATGATGTTTATGCGGGAATGAACATTATTACAATTATATTGTTCATATAAATGCGCATCTGCCAATATCATATCAAATATAATATGCATTTTGCGATAGCTATCATATTATTATTATTAGTATGTTATTATATGTTATATATAGCTATGTCAATATATTATATATATAATAGCAATATCACTATAGGATACGATAGGATAACTACCCGAACGACCCGCCAAGGTGCAGGATTTGCTGCTTCTGGGCACCATCCAGTCGGTTGCTGCGTGTGGCTGCGCGGAGCATCCTGGAAATCGAGGCTGTGCACCAGGAATTCTGGTGGTAAAATCCTCAATGTTTAACTACATGAAATATCATGAAATATCATGAAATTACTAAGTTTATGAAAAATAAATACCAGTAAATACTGTTCCATTCTGATTTTTAGACGGTCTAATCTTGTTTTAGTTTAATTTTAGTTGGTGAAGTTCCCCCTAATCCCCTAAGTATCCCATTTCTGGGATTCAAATCACTTCAACCCCTCTTCAAACCCAGCCGTCCTGCTCTTGTCCGCTTGCAGCAAGGCGGAGCCGCCTGCAGGGCGCAAACACTGCAATCGGCAACTATATATCTCTCCAGGGACATTTGGCTCCGTGCCTCCCTTCAAGGCTTGAGAAGCTTGAGCAATCGAAGCCACCACCTGTGCAATCGGTGCTCTGGAGATGTGTTCCATGGCAGTTTTACATCATTTTAACGTGGGGATACGACAAACCATTCGATTTCAGGTCAAAAACTGTGCCCCATGGGAGGTCAAAAACCCAACTCGGGTTGAGGTCAAAAATGCTGACTACCTTTTAAAACAGACCCACCAATTTTGATGGTAAAAACCTGGGGCTTGTTGGGGGATATGCCACCACTTTGTGGTTGCTATCCACCATACTAAACACCCCCAGAAAACGGCTTTCAGGGGTTCCGGATCAATCATCTTGTATGCCACCCCTCCAAAATGCTAAAAGAAAATCAGGACTGTTTTAGCACCTTGTACTACATTGAAATATACATAAACTGCTACATTCAAACTGTTCAAACATCTTCGCCAGCGGTGAGGTCACCATAGGTCACCCATTTCTCTCAGAGCTCAGTCGATTTTTCGTCGACCTCTTCGTCTTCTTGGTGTTCCTCCTCGTACTGCTGGTGTTCCTTGTTCCGCTGCCCCTCCGCCGCCTGGAGGCCCCAGGCAATTTCGGTACTAGGTGATGGCCTAAGGTGGTGCCGCAAACAGTTTGCTGACGGCCATCAATCCCCATGACTCAAACTATGAGTTACCATCTGGTTATTTCACATAGCCATTGAAAATCACCATTTTTAATAGGTAAACCATCTATAAATGTGCAATTTTCCATGGCTATGTTAAATAACCACACGGTATGACTTTTGGAAACATGCCTTGGGAATGAAATTAATGATAATGAGTCAGTACTGAAGGCACATCAGCAACATTGTAAGCTTCAAATAACTCTTCAAGGATTTCGAATTTCAAAGGGTACAGTAATTTCATCAAACATAATATGGATATGTCAAGATATGTTTAAAGAAAAGATGTATATCGCCGCTAAACATGAGGTATATCATTATCGGGATATTCCCACAAAAAAAAATGATGTGTACCCTGTGTACCCTCTGGTTATTTGTTACAGTTTGCCATGGAAAGATCCAGCATTAAGAACGCTAAACTCAGGTAAACCATCTATAAATGAACAGATCCATCTATAAATGCCATTTTTCATAGGTAAATTCACATGAATTCACTATTTCCATGGACCATTTTCCATACCATGGCTATGTAGTCATAACCAAAGGGCCGGCCGCCTTGAGGGTATCCTCCTCTGCACTGCGATCGAAAAACCGCTTGCAGATGTCATGTTGATGACTTGGGGATATCAGTCAATAAATCGATGTGATGGAAAATGATAGAAACATATCATTTTTTAGGCCATTTTCGGTGGATCAATTATCCACATTTTGAGCGCTAAAAAACCGTCTGAGTCTTGGGCATAGTTTACTGTTGGGTTTACCACATGAAGGTTTGGTTTCAGTGATGCCCCCATGCGCAAATCCAAAAGCGCGTACCCACCACGTGCTTCTACATGTTTAGATATTTTTAGGATGGGGGAATGATGTTATATTGCCAGGTGCCATGTTTGATTGCCATAGGGTATATTTAGTTTCAAGTGGGAAATCATCAAACTAAATGGAGATGTTTGATTGCCATGTTTGATTAGAAAAGGGCATGTAGCGAGACCACTTGAGATAACCCCAAACTCGCATTGGCCGCGCACAGATCTAAAGTGACTATGTAAATTGGAGTTGTTGCACCCAACACTATTTGTTCTACACATAATGTTTGAACTGTGATACTTCGCAAACATATGTTCAGAACATAGCTTTTGGCTGTGCATTGGCGAAACCCGGCAGAAGAGAGACAGCCCTGGTATGACAAGCTTTGCTGCTAAACGCAATTCCGATTTACCTCCCTCAAAATTCAACAACATGAACATGTGCTTTTTTGTGCTAGACAGGCATAGACTGTACCCCCTGGTAAACTAACATAACTATGGGAAATCACTAGTTTTAATGGGTAAATCCACTATTCCAATGGCCATGTTCAATAGCAAACTGTTAGTTTACCAGAGGATAAATATGGATAAATCACTGGCGCGGAAGAAAAAACCTGGCTGATCCGTTTTACCTCCATGATCTCTTTGGGGAGGGTGCGCCTGGTTCCTACGATTTACCCTATGGTAATGACTAACACAAAACTATGGAACATCACCACAGAAATAGTGAATTTTCCCATGAAAAATTGCGATTTTTTCCATAGTTTTATGTAAAATTTTACCAGAGGGTATCATCTTCCATTCAACACACTCAACTGGCCATTGCCATTTGACCATGTCACAAGCGGTAATCAACCAGAGCGATGGTTGAAATTCCACATTTCTAGGGGCGAAACTTGCAGCCCATGTTTGTGGACACCGGAGGGTCAAGTTTTATCCAAATATATCCCCACATCCCATTACATCCCAATCATATCATATCATATCATTGTGAATGGTACATTTTCCATAGCAACATGTTTGATCAGCAATTAATAGAAGTTACTGAACAATGAAATCCCTATGATGATTCCATTTTCCGCAGCGAAGTATGAAATTACCTATAACAAGTACAACTGTCATGAGTAAAAATCATCTATATACCTATATGAATACCGATTATATCCTATTGATGGTAAACATAATATTGGTGATTATCATCAACCATCAGTATGAATTTACCATTATCATTAAAAATCAATTTAACTCAATATATTGGATAGTAATTATAAATTAAGTACCTTTTTTGTTACTAGAATATGGTCATTTACTATCAATAGAATACAATTATCATCTAGTTTATATATATATATACCTGGAGCCTCGAGAAGGGAACAAATTTCTTGGATTTTGGGAATTTCTGGGTTTAACCCGGAAATTCTTCAAAAACCAGGAAATTTGATTTAGCAGGGTTTAGTAATGTTGAGTGGGTATTCTTCCAATTTTGGGGTTTCTGAAGCCATTTGGCTTACCTGGTATGGTTCTCACTTCCCGCTTTTCTCCAGGTGCGCACCCTTCTGTGCCTGCTCAACGGTACATGGACAATTACCCATCTTTTATGATTAAGTAGAATGCTTTGACCAGCTCCAATCGCAATTTAATTGTCCATGTAGTGGCCGCATGTGTGCCTGATGCAAGCTCCTTCATTCCTGAATCTAATTTCTAAGGCAGCACGCATTGGCTCAATTTTGAATAGGCAAAATGCCTTTCACGCAATGTAGCCCTGAAGCTCTCAAAGTCTTAGCTGATGAAGGACAACAAAGGGAAGAAAACTTGAATGGAACCAAAACATGTTCAAATCCTGTACTGGGTTCGCTTTGTATCTCATGGCCTTTGCCCCTGCTAGGATTGATGGGGTTCCCGGATAAGTTCTGGAATGAAGTGGCCAGCTTACTTTTCAAACCGAAGGATTCTCAGGTGGGACAGTGCCAATTTGAAACTCACACGGGCTGTTCTGTCTAATTGGAAACCCTTTGGATCTGGTAGTAGCCTAACCCCTCCAGGAAACCATGACCGACCAGATGCTGAACGATGCAGTGTCTAACTACAGACAGCATGGATCAGTTTTTGAACTGGCAACTTACTTTCGTCAGTGCACAGGCTTCTTGATTTAAAACAGGTCAGCACAAGTCAATTTAAACCAATGTCATGGATTTGTTTTTTGAGCGCATGCGCACCCCCAATCTAAGGTTCCTTGAAAGATTCCGAAGCCACACCCTCTGAGCCCCAGAATGAAACTTCTGGGTCTGATCTGAAATGATCTCAAAAATGAGAATGGTGCACTAGATCGGGTCAGTGGACAAAATCCTTTCTGCATGTTATGCCCTTTTCCTATCAAGTCTTTTCACACCTTTAGACTTTATCCTTTTGGCCAGTTGTCACATTGCTTGCCGCCCACGCAGGTGTGCCTACCTCAGCCCTATAGCGGCCCGGAAAGGTATCAGGTGCCACCCGCTTTGCTCAGTTCAGCTTGTGCCTTCAAGGGTGAGTGGAGGGGTTGACAACTGGGACACTGTTGCTCAAAGTTTGCCTGAAAAATCCATAACATACATGTAGACGGCTCAAGGATCCTGTCCTGAGAAAGAGTGGTGACTGAACATGTCGCTTGACGGGCTGGATAAAATACTTGCCAATAGCCCACTTGCCCGGGAGCGCCTGCTTCACTCTGGTCGCCTGCTCGCCTGGCCAAGCAGCAAGACCGTTGGGGTTATCAGTGGTGATTCTTTACGGCTGAATACACAAGTCATCAAGTTGCTGGCTGATGTTTGGTGTCCTCAGTGGGAAGGGCCTGCTATGGTACCCATTGACATGGTAAAAGACCAGGCCTATGAAGTTTAAAATCACCACTAATGTCTGTTAGTTGCAAAATCTATATCGGTGCAATATCCCATCAAACACCCTGTTAGGTGAAACTCCTCCGAGATTCTTTGAACATGTCGAACGATGTGGCTAAGATTCATTGCGATGGGACGGCGTTGAAAGGGTTCATGACCTTCATCAACCAAACATTGCATAGGAATGAAAAAAAGCGAGACACTTGCTCATTGAACATGCTTAATTTTTGTTTGACCTTTCCCTCTTCTACAGCATAATTTTTCTATTTCTGTCAGCTTTCTCATGTTTACCCCCAGACAGTCATCCCAAAGGATACTCTGTTGGATGAGCTCTTCGCTCACATCCGTGGCTACTGGCCTTTGAGCAACTCACAGCTGGCCAAGCAGGCCACAGAGAGCTATGAGGGTGTGCAGCCGGAGGCAGAGGGAGGTGGGGAAGCAGTTGAGCGGCAAGCTGAGGAGGACATGTTAGAGGACACAGAGTTGGCAAAGGCTTTGGGTGTCCCTGATGAGTTGGTTGCACGCATGTCACCGTCAAAGCCCAAGGAGTCACTCCAAGATGCCCCCAATCCTATGGCTGCAGTTGCCCAGCCAGAAGTTTCATGTGAGCCAGCCCCGGTTGAGAAATCTGACCGCCAGAGGCGAATTGAAGCCTTGCAGTACCCTGAAAAAAAAAAACAAATCGTTTTTGCACACATACCCCCAAATACCACATCGTGTTTCCATGTGTCCGTATTGAGCCTAGGCAGATGTTGGCCGCAGCCAAGTCCAAGAAGGAGTCCAAGAAGGAGTCCAAAGCCCCGCTATGTCCCCAGAGTGTTGATCCCAGCAAGGTGGATACCCTCGAGATGGACTTGTCCCCCATTGCCAAGGTTATGTCCAACACATTGGCATGTGATGTGATTGGAATTGAGGATGAAATTAGTGATGATTGCCCTGAGAACATGGAGGGACCTGTTGACGAGGATTCTGTTCCGCCCACCCAGCCTGACCCGGTGCCGTCTGATGATGTTGCTGCTGCTAGTGGTGAACAAGCTTTAGACCCTGGTGCCTCCAAATCAGTCTTTGACCAGGAGGCAGTTAGTTGTGATTACGGTGTGGTTGAATCGAGACAAGCCATCATTGGCCAATCTTTGGGGTTTAAATCTAAGTTACATCTGTCTTTCTCCAATGAAAACCTTCCTCCATTAACCTTCTCTCCGCTCAATGCTTTCTTGCTTGCAGGTGAACATCACTCGCATGGACCAGCAGAAGTGGAAGAGGGAGCTTGACGAAGAGGCTCGCCGGAAGGAAAAGGAGGAGGATGATAAGGAGAATGCCGATCAAAACAAGCCCAAGGGGGAAGGCAAGGCCAAGACCAAGCCTAAGTCGAAAGCCAAAAAGTCTCCCAGGGAGAAGGACACAAAGAAGGACACAAAGAAGGACGCAAAGAAGGACGCAAAGCCTACTCCGACAGCAAAGTCGGCGAAGGCTAAGGCTAAGCCTAAGACCAAGCCTGAACCACCACCGGCTGATGCTGAAGCTGAGTTGAAAACCCCTGTCCGAAAGCACGTGCCCAAAGGGCCTTCGCCGACAGGTCTCCAGAAGCGCAAGTCTGCTGCTGCCTTGGAGTCGGGGGACCATGTGACCCCCCCCAAGGAACCCAACCGCAAGAAACGGGGCTCAGGTGAAATTCCCAAGACCTTTGCCCGTCGTTACAAGCCAAGCACATCTTGGGGTGGCTTCAAATGGGAAGCATTGCGTTCCGTTTTCCAGTCCATCATTTCCATTCGGGTCAAGGGCCCTTCCAAGCATGAGGCAAGGTTTAGAAATTTGAAAACATTGAAAACAAATCTTTTTTGGTCCAAAGAACCTATCAAGTTCTTAGGGTTTTGTCGCAAGAAACATGTTTACCCTTCTGGTTCTGCCATGACCATGGGGCTTTCCAGGCGGACTTTTGGGACTTTGCCTCCGAGAAGTTCAACTTGTTGGACAAGAAGGACTACATGAACTTTACTCAGAAAGATTGGGACCGGGATGCTGAGCTTGTAGCCCATGATTACCTTGCGTCCCTGGAAGACTAATCAGGGAAGATTGCACCAAATGGTGCCTGAAAAGGGATACCATGCTTCGAAAGTTGTTTGTTAGCTCGCTGGCCTTCCTAGTGGATGGGATGGAAAAATCCAGACTACTGCATTGCAACAAAAACCCAACAGAAGTTCAAGCCCCCTTGAACAAGGTGACATCCCCAACTTGCGTTGGGGTGCCACGTAAAGGTACTCTAGCTGTTCTTTACCCAGGGGTGCTGTCAGCTTTTCATCCCTGGCTGCTGGGCGTTGTCTGCAGATCAAACATCTGAGCGCAAATCTGAAAAAATGTGTCTTGCGGAACCCAATCTAAGCCACCATCACTTGTCCACCCAAGCTACTTGGCCCCCTCGCTAGGTGCCAATGCCACGCCGTCGAGCCTGCAGCATGGTCTTTGCAAAGTATGGCGAGCTGGAAAGTACTTCTGGCTTGTGTTGTTTTTATCTTTCTTGGGATTTCTTGGCAGCTCATGAAGATTATCACATCGCTCATGAAGCCTTTTTTGATCAAGGGTTGGGATCGGCTGGCCTACAAGGGAGGTGAACGCAATGGGCCCACAAGCTCTTGAACGTGTCTTGAAAAGACTGATATTTCTGGGTGCTCCAAAAGACCCTTAGCTCAACCAATTTGTATGTTGTGAGCTTCATAACACATGACTTGCATTCATAGAAACTGTAAAGGATCCAAAACTGTATTCCTGGACAGCCAAGGCATTTATCCTTGTCATTCTTTTGGCAAGTTGGCAGACCTTTTCGCCTTATTCCGAGGGTGCCCAGTATGAGGTGATTGAATATTATGCCGGTGTTGGCCGGATTGCTCGCTTAAGCTCAGCATGTGGGTATCAGTCTACAGCTTATGATGTCTTGTACCAACCCGGGCCTTCCAACGCAGCCACAGGTCCAGGGCCAGGCTGTGGGAAAAAGGTGCCTAAGGGCAAACGGGTCATGGACCTAAGCCAACCGTCTGGCTTTGCGTTGCTCTAGATTGAGCCCAGTTGGCGCATTTTTTACTTCCCCAAAACTACCACCTAATTGTTGAACTTATCTATATAAATTGCACTGGTTATATATGTACTATTGACTGGAGGCCTGCGCCCGCCCATGGTGGAGCCCGTGCCAAAGGTCAAATATGCATAAGATGCATGGTATATTGCCATGGTATATCCCCAGAACTACCACCTTATATTTTGTTAATCAATGTAACGTTATCATGTTATTATTGCTTCTGGGGGATGACCCTTGACCAGGTTGGCCTTACACCTATTGATGCAAGGAAAGTTCTCAGAATTGCTGACGTTCTGGGGTATTTGCTGCTCCAGTTGGATCCATTTAAATTCTGGTACTTCAAAACGGGACTATGCAACGCCTATGGGCTGCGATGTTCCTTCCGTGGTATTAGCCAACTTGCTTACATCAAGGAACTGTGATGGGGAAATGGTCGGAACTGCTTGGATGTTAATCTTAGACTAGAGAGTCTGATGTTGGGAGCTTGCCCCACCCCCATTTTACCTTTTGCTCCAGCTGCACCCCGCTGCCCGCTGCCAGGAGCTGCTTTCTGATCCTCTTTGTGATTTGCATGGAAGGAGTGCCCGTAGTGGAAAACCCAGGCTCATCTTTGATTTGGCTACATGATAGGTTTCAATGGCTTCTCACCCTACTTGAAAGGGCTGGTTTGAAGGTGGCTTGGTTGGTGTTTGCAAACTGTTGATCCCAAAATATTGTGGAAAAATCTATCAATTTTGTTTTCAATGATTTCTTGGACCAACTAAGATGTATCGTCAAAGCTTTTGGATGCGTGGTTTCGACCATTTTTCAATGAAAAGAACAATTTTGTGGAGCACTAGTCCGGCCATCATTGCCTTCATGCAGTTTGCCCACTTCAAGGGAAAGAAAGACAAGAGCCCAGCTTCCAAATCAACAACAAGGCGTTACATAAACCGTTGGGGAGAAGTTGCATACCATGGCACAAGAGATTTGAAGCGAACCCAGAACCGTGAAAGCATTATCATATATTTTTGTTCGAAATTTGGTGCAAACCTTTCAAAACACTTTTGTTGATAATAGCAGTTTATCTAATGATTCGATTTCTCAGGTGCTGTAAACCAAAGGGTTTGGCAGGGCTGCATGGTGTCAAATCTGAGGATATATACTCCAAAATTTGCATCATTTGTGGTGAGACTCGTCCCAAAGCTGCATGAACGAAAGCAGAAGTTTCCTGAGGTTCTTTGGCTGTATATTATTCGTGGAATTGGGGAATTGTTTCAAATAAAAATTGTATGGTGAATCTGAAGTAGCTGATTTGTTTGATCACCAAAAGACCAAGGTTGAAGATAACCGGCCCCTCACCCTGATGTTCGCCGAGATGCAGTACGAGGATTGGCGCGATGATGCGCGGTTCAGAGATGTGATTAGGTACCTTCGTGGTTCCAAAGGGCTTTCCATTCCCCCGGAATGGAGGCCACTCATTCCCGACTATATTTAAATCCAATTTGTCCTCATATCCTGATGCCTCAAGTCTGCAGAAAGGTTTCCAAACTCTAAGCATAGAATTTGGGGAACTAATAGGGAAAACATGCAGCTTACTCCAAATCATTGCAAAATTTGCAGATTTGAACAAATTAGCTTGCCGTTGTGTAACAACGTTCAAAACGGGCGGAAAAAAGGACCCGGAAATCCCCGGGAAAAACCCGGAAATTGGCGGGAAAAACCCGGAAATTGGCGGACTCCTGTTTGCATGTTTTTTTATTGTTGATCAAAATCAATTTGATCTCAAGACTGGAAAAAAATCACGAGGCTATCCTTTCCCATAGTCTTTGTGCCCAAAAGATGTCTGAGAGACTTCAAAGTAGGGCTTGGTCCTGTTCAACCCTCCAAGCTGGCCTTCAACTCGCAAGTGACTTGCCAATGTCCTTGAGTGCCTTTGGCGATGATGATGTCGCGGCGATGGAGAGGGAACTTGCCCAATTGAAGGTCAGTTCTTGGGGGTGGGGGAAAATTAAACCCCAAATTCAAATTGCAATCCATTTCTTCTAGAACCTTTTGAATGTGGACAACCCCTTTCAAAAGCAATCGGAAATTGGGATTGCTTCCAACATATTGGGGTGCAGATTATATCGAGCATGCACGTTTCACATGAAACATTATGAAACTGTACCCAAAGTCCAAACGGTTGATTTTCTTTTTTTTGAAACAATACCTATTCTGGTAAGATAGCGGGGTGCTAAAAAGGCTATGTCGATAGTACACAAAGATATTGTATACTACAAAATTCAAATCAGGAATCCACAGTGTAGTGCATAACTTGTTGGGCCAATTTCCCTTGAATAGACAAGAAGAACCATTAGGATCCCATAAAGATAATATGGTTGCTGCCTGCCAGGCAGAGGAGGAAGCTGACCGAGGCAAGGGTATTGGGGGCCCTGGCGCTGGCAAGGGCTTTGCTTTTCTCGCCGAAGCAGTTGGTGCATCATCTGTGATCGATCTTGAATCTGATGATGAGGGTTTGAAGAGCAACTTGATCAAATTTCTTTTCCCAGGTGATTACCATCCAAAAGATTTATGTGCTATATTGAAAAATTGGTATTTATACCCTGGGATCTTGGAAAACCCTGTAGCCATCTGTAGCCTCAACATTCTTTGAGCAATCGATGTCCTAACAAAAAACAATCCAGCGGGATAATGTGCTTGGACCATCTTGGACCCACCAAACCATTGGTTTCAAATCTTAAAATTCAAGGCTGATTTTATCAAGCTTCTGGTTGGATTGAACCCTAAAAAATAACCTGCTTTCCCGCCGCCCAAGGTCCCACGGCGCCTACATCGACTGGCAGCGGCAAAGGTTCTGCTCCAAAGCCTTTGCTGGTCCCGGTGAGTGGACAGCGGGTAGGTGGTGATGGTGGGGCCTCTGAAAGTTGCACTCTACCTGACACCCCACATGATTCTGATGTTGAAGTTGATGAACAATCCCCGAAATCAGCAGTGCCGCCTGAAGACTCCAACAGTACCCCTGTTTCTGGGCTATGTTTTTTTGGTGGGGAATGGTTTGTGATTCCTGGTTATTCTTGTCCCATGTTAAGTATCCCCATTTTGTTCTTATTGTTCATTGTTTTCCCTTGTCAAGTATCCACATCTCAATAAAGATTATTATATATCGGTTTGAGGTGTAACAACCACAAAAAAGCGGGATAATATTATTGTACATCTACCCTGAGTTCTTTTACTAGACTTTGGACTCTTGTGGGGAAGGGTTGATTTTTTTAACATTTCACCACGTCTAAGGAAATTCTGAGACAAGCACATTCCCAAGCAGATCCTTTCTCTAAGTCAAAGGAGGCATACGAACTTGTTCGGAGAGAGATGCCCCAATCAGTGGTTTCCCAGACGCCACCAGCTTCCGAGCCCAGCCAGCCAGGCATGCTGGGTGAAGGCACTACCAATGCGGAGAGAGCTGATGATCGCCCAGGGTCCTCAGCACCGGTTCCGGCCATGTCAAAGGGCGCCATTGACAAAAGGCTGAGACGTGTTTTCACACCTTTGAAAGATGGTTCCTACAGGGTCCCCGAAGAGTTCGTTAAAAAATGGGATCGACCTGGTGCAGACAGAGATGGATTGTTTGTCCTCTTCGAAAAATGCAACTACGAACCGGACTGGTTTGTTGTAAAACCTGTGGTTTGTTTTTTTTTTAAAGGGAGTTCCATATACAATAAACGTGGTTAGAAGGCCTTGTAGGGTAAACCTATGGAATGAATAATGAAATTATTGTATGTTTTTTTTTTGCCTGGTTTTATTTTCAACATGTCATCCCAACATTTCCAATCCCCATTCCTGGAGGATAAATTCGTCACCGTGTGCCAGAAGATCACCGAAGAGATTGATGAAGCAGCTTTGAACGTAGAGTTTGAATTTCAAACAGAGAAGGACATGGTGGACAATGGCTATTCGCAGTGCCATGACAAAAAATAATACTGTAGGTTCACATCTAACCCACTTATGCAGTTC